ATATCTTTGTACTTTTTAATAATATTTACGAAGAATTATTCTATTGATAAATGCTAGTAAAAGAGACTGATTAACTGCCGTATCATTTATAACTTGCTAAAGATTCACCCCATTTTCATCACTATTGTGAATATTCTCAATATTACACACACATATATATATATAATTCAAATAATTTAAAGTAAATTAAAAAAAAAAATCAAATATTTAGGTGCAAACAAAATATAATTGTTCTTAAATTAAAAATTAAAAATTATTAAAAATCCTATTTAAAACAATAGGCATTGAATGCAATTGTGATGATGGATGACTTTATAATTATTTTAGTTAGATCTATTATGAAGCATCAAATTAAAATACAAAATTCAAATTACTATCTAGAATTAAATAAATTTTGTAAAAATAAAAATTTCAATAAAAAAAATACAATAATTATATATGGGAAATATTAATGTTTGTTTTATTATAGTTTGAAATACAAAATTCAAATTACTATCTAGAATTAAATAAATTTTGTAAAAATAAAAATTTCAATAAAAAAAAATACAATAATTATATATGGAAAATATTAATGTTTGTTTTATTATAGTTTGAAATGGAATGTTGATTTGAGGTTTTATTAGGAAATATTTTATAAGAAATTTAGTATTATTGAAAACTGTACATAGTATTGATTTTAATTTGAAATATTTAAAAAATAAATTGAATTAATACATTTTTAAAGTTTAAAATTGTAATATGTACTTATATTTCTAATATTTGTAGTATGGAGTGGAGTAGTTCTTTTAAAAAATAGGAATGTTTTAAATACAAAATAAAAACTAAACATAAAAAATAAAACAAATTTATATATTTTTAAAATTAATCTATGTTACTTGTAATGACATTGTCAAATTACCTTAGACTATTTTCAACTCATAACTCTATTTTTTGCAAAAGTTACAGTAAATTTTAAATATTATACATTTTTCTATTTTTGCAGGAGCTACGGTACATTTCTCTATTTTTGCGGCACTTACTACAGTAACTCATCTTCAACCATACCCTAAGTCGAAGAATATTCTTTATATATATATTTATATATATATATATATATTCTATTTTATATAATTTTTAAATTTAACAAATAACACTCAATACTTTACTATTTTAACACATTTAACTTATATAATATTTTTATTAACATTTTAAATATTATACCGATAAAAAAATATATTCATTATTTTTATTGCGGATGATTACTATATATTTTATGTTTAACTTAATATTATATTTCTAGGGTTATTTTAATAGTTTGGACGATAATCCAAATAATTTAGGCGAGATTATTGAATATTGTATTCTTAGGTTTATTTTTTATCTAATGTTATGCATTTTCCATAATTAATGTTAATTTTTATTTATAATATTATTTTTAAATATTATAATAATATAATTTAATATAAATAATTATAATTTTTTTATCATAATTAATTAACTATAAAATTTAATAAACTTTAAATAAATAAATAGTTCATAATATATAAATAAATTATGTTATAATAATAAAAAAAACTAATAAAAAATAAAATAAAAGAGACAAAATGAAATTTTAAAATAAATTTAAATTAAAATATAATTAAATTTTCTTTAGAAAAAATAGAAAAAAGAAAAATCACAATGACATTTTTACCAGGTAGGTTGGAGGAAGAATTTGTAACCAACCCTACAAATTTGGAGAATATCATCACCGATTGAAGATGGTCTTAACAAAAATAATTTATTTTTAAAAATAAAAATAAAAATATTTATATGTATAAATATATATGTATATGTATAATATAGTATGTATATATGTGAATAAAATCATAATATAATATTTATTTATTATGATTTTATTAATTATATCAATTATAACTGTGTAATATTAATGACAATTCATTAACTATCATAATTAATATAATTATTTTATTTAAGATCTATTGAATTCAAATATATACTGGAGAGAGAGAGAGAGAGAGAGAGAGAGAGAGAGAGAGAGAGAGAGAGAGCTTTTCATTTATTATTCAAATTTAATACTCCTTCCGTCTCATCTACCATGTCCGTATTATCGTTTTTGTCCGTCTCATATCTAATGTCACTCTTTTTATTAGAAAATGATTATACACTTTAAACACATTTTAAAATTTTTTATTTAATTTTAATTAAACTAATTAGTTATCTTAACCTTAATTTATAATTATTTATATTATTATTGATGCAATTTTTCAACAATAAAAAATAAAATCGAAAATAGAGAAATATTTTCGAATTTGATAGATGGGCGCCTGAGATTAGGGATCTCTAAACACTGTAGAATACATAAAATAAAATAGGAAAAATAAAAATAAAGACTAGAAAATAAAGTGGTGATCCCCAAAAGCAATTCTCTTGAATTTGATGTCGATTGAAGATGTCTTTTTTCCAACAGTACTGGATCCTTAAATAACCCTGTTGAAGAAACTGTTTGAACCGCTATCTGGTCGGTTACCATAACCGCTGTTAACCGCCCCAAAAGTTCTCTTCTATTGACACGTGTGTCAACCGTCCTACCACGTCCGACCTTAAAAAACCGTTCGCCAGTTGCAACTTCTTCCAACCGCCCCAAAACTGCTCTCTCACCCGACCTACACATGCTACTTCACTGCCCGATCTCATTACGTCCGACCTTATCCTGCCTCATCTACACACCAGACCTTACCATACCCGACTTTCGAATTCGGCCTGTTTGCGCCCGACCTTTAAGCTTGGCCCGACCAGGTCCGACCTCATTGTCCGACCTTATCGCACCCGACCTTACTTGGTCCGAACGCCGCATCGACCGACCTCCATATCAGCCGACCTCCGTATCGTCCGACTTAACCAACTGCGGACCGCCCGACCTGCTCAACCGACTTTTGACCATCCGACCTATTTAACCGACTGAGAACCAACTGACCTATTTAACCGACTGGGAACCAACCGACCGCGGATCAGCCGACTGAGAACCAACCACACGTGGATCAACCGACGGCGAAACAGATCCGATTCCTTGGCCGACCACCATCTGGTCTCTTGTCCGACTACGTACCATTTGATCTTCTTCTTTGCCCGACCTTCCTCTTGACAGACCTCCGCGATTGTCGATACTTCTTCTTCGCCCGACCTTTATCATGTCTGACTTCCGTGTCCAACTTTATCACGTCCAATCTCCGTACCCGACCTTGTCCTGTCCGACCATGTATCGGTCGATCATTCTTCCTTGTCCGACTTCTGGGCCGTTTGGCTTATACCCAGACCCATCCAGAATTTTACTGCAATTATTTATTATTATTATTATTATTTTTGCTCAACAATTATAATATAATTATTTTTACTAATAGATTTTTAATTATCTATTAATTATACTTATTCTAAATTATCGTGTCTATAGTAACCCAAACATCCAACGTGGGACGGAGGGAGTATCTAAAATAAATATTTTGCAAAATAGTCCCTTATTACCTTTTATTTTCAACACGACTATGTGCCCTAAATTAAAATTTGCTTTCTTCTTGTGTTTATTTGTTTTTTTTTTTTTTTTTTTATATCTGGTATATTTTTGTTTTGTTTAATTTTATTTATTTTTCAAAATCAGCCCAATATCATTGTTGATTTTTTTTATTGTGACTTTTATATTTAGTGTTCTTAATGGTATTAATTTTCAATTTCATTTACCTTTTGTTGATTTAGAAGTTTAATTTTTCGATTAAAAAAAAATTGAAAATTTTAGTTTTCTTATCATCTAAAATTGTTAATAACATATATACTTTATTATGCCATGTGTTATGAACATTTTTAAATTTTGCCTTTCGGTCCTTTTATTTTAGTTTTATTATATATTTGGTATTATTTATTTAATTTTTAATTAACGAGTATGTATTAATTGAAGCCTAACTATCTATTAAAATGATATTTATATTGTGTATATTTTATAAAAAATTCAGTCATTAAAATAATTAAATATACATTTTATTTATTTATTTTTTACATATATTACATTATAATTAAATATTAATTAAATACATAAGTTATTAAAAAAATTAATCTATACATTTTAATTTTTTTTTTATTATATATATATATCCACCCACACGGTACTGTACTTAGAGGTGGCAATAGATCGATTCGTGTCAGGTTCGTGTTGGGTTGAATACTTTAAACGGGTTAAATTACTCAACTCTAACTCGACCCGTTTATTATCGTGTCGACTTTGTGTTGACTCATTTATTATCATGTTGGGTTCGGTTGACTTGTTTTGACCAGTATACATAATTAAATCGAATTTTTTTATTCAAATTAAATAATTTTTTTTATTGGTTTGAACGTTGAATTATTTAAAATTGAATTTAGTTTAAATTAATTTATGAGAAAATTATTAAATTATTATTATTTTACATCTATAACAAACCAAGGTCTCGAGTTCGAGTCCCGTCCATCCCCATTTGCGGCATATGCATGTGCAAGTTTCGCAGACCTCACTTGCACCTGATGGGGCGTGCTGACGACTCTCGTTTGCGGATATATAATTAATCGAACTTTTAGGTGAGACGGTCATTCGGCATCCGATATGGTATCTAAATTATGTTTATTTATTTATTTATTTTATCCAAAAAAAAATAATATTTAAAATATTTTACTTTTTATATATATATAAAACTTGTGTAATTTAAATCTTTTATAACCAAATATTAATTTTGGATAAGGAAAATATTTGGTGCACACTTTACGTTAACACAAAAGAATTTAACGTGCTAAATAAAATATAGGTATTATATAATTTACCCTTACCTAATTCGTTGCCCTTTATATAGTGTGTACGGAGTCTTATGTGGACCTCGTTTTAAATTTATTAAATACATAAAGAAAAGCCCAATATCTAAAAGCCCATTAAACGGCCCAAAAATATAAGTCAATTAAACGGTTCAATATATTAAACCTCAAGTCAAATTGTAGAGCCCAATATACAAAGCCCAAAACTCAATGCTTTTCTGCCATAGCAATCGACCTCGGAGCCGATCGTTGCAGCGCCTTCGTTTGGAGTTCCGGCAGGAGGACGGCCGCCGTGGAAGAGGTGAGATAAGAATACTCTATGTCTCTAATTGATTTTGTCTCCATCTTTGAAACGTTTGAAGTTTTGTGATTTTTCTATGAGAATTTTCCATAATCTTCGCTCCTGCTTCCAATGTGCGATTTCCGTGATTTCTGACGCTATTAAAACGAAAAATGTTTCCGGATTGATGAATTGAATCTAGTTTGGTTGAATTGGAGCTGGCAAGCATTCGTGTATGCTATTGTAAATTTTGTCATGTTTGTTTCAACACAGCGTTTTGCGCGCATGTTACGTGTTCGAAGAAATGTCTCAGAAGAACAAACTTTGATTCGTAGAACGTAATTCTCTGATCCTTCGTATACCTTGAAGCACAACTAAAACTAATACAAATTATCTGGATTTGTTGTGTTCTTGTAGAAAAATATTAGGAATCTGTCTACGAACAGCTTTGATTTTGCCATTGGAGAATGAACAAGCACATTTATTCATCTGTTCATAAGCTTAGCAGCAAACTTAACTTTTGTTTGAATGATTCATCCTCTGTTACTGGAACTTTATTTCCTCTAATCATCCTGTTGCTAAATTGCATATTACATTTTCAAAATTTCAGTTCCCTGGTGTTCATAGTGCTCCAGAAATGTCGAGAATCGCCTCCCTACCAAAACTGGTTAGTCGAATCAACCATCTTAATCTGCACAAAGCTCTATCTCAGTCCTCCAGTTTCAGCACAATCCTCCAGTCCGTCGACATTGGAACAGTTCCAAAACGACGACCCCAATTAATCGGCGAAAATGTTTCTAGAAAGGACAAGATTGGCATTCTCGTAACAACGCTGAATGATCTTCCGAACAGCAAAGAAGCTGTGTATGGAACTCTCGACGCTTGGGTTGCGTGGGAGCGAGATTTCCCGATCGGCCCACTGAAGCAGGTCTTGATCCGTCTCGAGAAAGATCAGCAATGGCACAGAGTCATCCAAATTATCAAATGGATGCTAAGCAAGGGACAGGGCACGACCCGGGGAACATACGGCCAGTTGATCCGGGCCCTCGATCACGACCGTAGAGTCGAAGAAGCCCACGAGATCTGGAAAAAGAAACTCTCTTATGATCTCCATTCCGTCCCGTGGAAGCTCTGCGATCTCATGATCTCCGTTTACTACAGAAACGATATGCTCGAGGATCTGGTGAAGCTGTTCAAAGGCCTGGAATCGTTCGATCGGAAACCTCCCGGGAAATCGATCGTGCAGAAAGTAGCGAATGCGTATGAGCAGCTCGGGTTATGCGAAGAGAAGGATCGGATACTTGAGAAGTACAAGACTCTGTTCGACGAATCGCCTGATCGGAAATTCAAGAAAATTAGTCGCGCCCGGCGGCTGAAAAACGACGATAGATCGACGGAGGCCGAGCAGCCGAGCTCTGACGGCCCTTTGGAAGGATAGGTTCAGTTCGATGGTTGTCCTTCAGGTATGTTGTAAGATTTCTATCGTTGAGATTGAAATTGATGCTACTTTGATTGATTTTGTGCTTTAAGTATTTCTTTACCGTTGCTTCGTTCTTGCAAAAGTAGAATAGCTGTTATTTACTTGAAAATAGTTATTGAATACTACATTTTAAATTAAAAAAAAAATGCATTTGATAACAACATCAAAATATATATATTTATTTTTCTCAATAAATATATATATACATATCTCAAAAATGCAATTGACAACAACATCAACAGCCAAAACTAAACTAAACAACAATCTCTATTACGGTTAATTAATTATTACAAAGCTCATTTGAAAAAACGAAATTCAAATTTCGTAATTCAGAATTCATCATAAATTATTACTCCCTCTGTCCTGATGGCACGTTACTATAAACAGGAGAATTTAAGTAAAATATAATTAATAAATAATTAAGAAGTATATTAGTAAAAATAATTATTATTTAATACAAAAAATTATAGATTAAGATTAAGATGACATTAAAATAAATTAAATTTTAAATTTTAAAATATAATTAAAATGTATAATTAATTTTTTTTAAAAAAAATAAATAAATTATGTGGGACGAAGGGATTAGCAATTATTTGATACCCATTTTTTACATTCTGAATACATCTCAAGCAGTTTACCAAATCCTTCAATCTTTGCATTCATTAAAAACAAGACTCTATTTTCATATAATTTATCATTTGTTTGTTTCACATAATTTATTTTTTTTAATATAATTATATATTTTAATTATATTTTAAATTTTATAATTTATAATTTTTAAAAATTTTATATTAACTATTTATTTAATAATTTTAATTGATAAATATTTTTATTAAAATATTTTTTAATTATTTACTAATTTAAAAATACATACCTAAAATCTCGAGCCAATTTAAAGAGTACAAATTATCTGAAAACGTAATAAATAAATAATTACATTATCAGATACAAGCAACCATAATAATACAAAAAAGCCTACTCCCGTCAGAGCCTCTTCAAAACAAAAACGTTAAAAAAAAAACTAGCCGTTGGGACTGCAACGGCTACCCAAAGACATCTCCTTCTCCGTCGCTACAAAATCTCACCCATTATCCAATTCCTCTTCACCTCTGCAAAACTCTCTCACTCTAAAACTCACTCACATTCTTCCACTCCCTCTCTCTAAAAAAGAAATACTTTCATCTGAGATATATCTCCACCGCCGGCGCCGCCCGCCGCCGTCCGCCGCCGCAATGAACGATTTAATGACGAAGTCCTTCACGAGCTACGTCGACCTGAAGCGAGAGGCGATGAAGGATCTGGAGTCCGGGACCCCGCCGGACCTCGAAATGGGCCTTTCGAAGCCCGACCAAAACCTCACCGCCTTCCTCGACGAAGCCGAGGAGGTAAAGAAGGAAATGAACTCAATCCGACAAATCCTCAGCCGCCTGCACGACGCCAACGAGGAAGGCAAGGCCCTGCACAAGCCCGAAGCCCTCAAATCACTCCGGGCCCGCGTAAACAACGACGTCGTTTCCGTCTTAAAGCGGGCTCGGGCTATCCGAGCCCGGCTCGAAGACATGGACCGGTCCAACGCCGCGAACCGCCGCCTCTCCGGCTGCAAAGCTGGCACCCCCGTCGACCGGACCCGGTCCGCCGTCACCAACGGTCTGAGAAAAAAGCTTAAAGAACTAATGATCGATTTCCAGGCGCTGAGGCAGAGAATGATGGCGGAGTATAAAGAGACCGTCGGAAGACGCTACTTCACCGTCACCGGAGAATTCCCCGGCGATGACGTCATCGATAAAATTATCTCCACCGGCGACGGCAACGCCGGCGAAGAATTGCTCTCCCGAGCCATCCAGGTATGTGTTTCAATTTTCAAATTCGAATCGATTCAAAACCCTAGAAAAACCCCCAAATTGATTTTTTTCCAATTGAAATTGGGGATTTTGATTTTTCTGCTTGGATCAGGAGCACGGGCGGGGGAAAGTGGTGGAGACGGTGGCGGAGATTCAGGACCGGCACGAGGCGGCGAAGGAGATAGAGAAAAGCTTGCTGGAGCTACACGAGGTATTTCTGGACATGGCGGTGATGGTGGAGGCGCAGGGGGAGCAGATGGACGACATAGAGCACCACGTGATGAGCGCGGCGCAGTATGTGAACGACGGCGCGAAGAATCTGAAGGTTGCGAAGGATCATCAGAGGAGCAGCCGGCGGTGCCTCTGCGTCGGAATTGTGCTTCTGCTGCTCATCATCCTCGTCGTCGTCGTCCCCATTGTTGCAAGCTTTGCTAAATCGTGATTGATGATGATGATGATTCATTTGATTCTTTGATTTGTTTGTTTGTTTGTGGGAATCTGAGACTGTTTATCGATCATCATCGATCAGATTGTTACTTACAGTGCAAATTTTACATAAAGGCAGTAGACATTTTTAGTACAACAGTGATCTTTACTTGTAAAATTTTAGCAGATTTTACTATTCTAATTTTTTTTAATTAAAACATATCAAATAAAACATCTAATTTTTATTTATTTTATTATTTTAAATTTAATTTTACATTCAAAACATTAAATCAATATCAAACAACTGTTTCAATTCAAAATTTTACTATTTTTTCTATTCCGGTACAAGGTTGTCATTTATTTTTTGTATGTAGATTTTTTAATATCAGTATTATAATGAGTTTTAGTAAAAAAGACGAAAATACTCCAGTAATATTGTATAATAATATAAAAGTAACGACATTTGTGTAAGGTATTTATTATATTAGGCAGATAGTACAATTGCTAAATTAGGAAATAGTAACTTTGTTTTGGGACGAACGAAAATGGAAAATAAAACACTTTCAATGGGACAGAGGAAGTATTCAAAATCCAAAATCAAAATCAAAACCTCACAACTAAACACCAAGATTTTTAGGACAAAATTTGACTAGGTTACTGCTAGTTTAAAAAATATCAAATCAAACAATTATTTTTCGAATTTTCTTTTGGAGGTTGTGTTCTTTTGTAGATTTTTACACCAATTTTTTTTACTATTGAGATTATTATTTACCTCCAAAAATATCAAATCAAATAATTTTTTTTTATATTATACTACAAATTTACTTTGCATTCAAATTCAACTTTTTATTATTCATAAATCCAAAATCCCAACCCACAAACACGCTTCGAATTTTAGTTTTAGATAGTAAAATTTTGAATGGAAATAATTATTTGATGCGACGTAAATATATATTAATATAATATTTTAAATATAAAATTAAATTTAAGTGTAATATATAATAAATAAAAATAAATATTTAATTAGATTTTGTTTTAAAAAAAAAGTAAAATAAGAAAATTAAATGTAAATTTTCATAAGTAAATATGAAATGACATCAATTATTTATTTATTATTTTAAATATATATATCTTTTAAATAACAAACAAATATATAAATTGTTCCATCTCTTTTATTTTAAACAATTTACACATTTACATATATAAATTGTGTTGCACATTCAACTTTTAGGACAAACAAACATTAACGTGGTTTTCTATGGAGCCCTTTTCGATTCAATTTTCACATAGAATAATTTTTATTTTAAATAAAAAAATTCATTGATTTTTATTTTTGTTTAATTTTAAATTGTAATCAATACTATTTATTTTGCACGGCAAGATTCATAATAAAAATGTGTTATCTCGGCATGCATCAAATACTATTTACACAATAAAAATAATACTCCCTTCGTTCATTTTTACTGTTCTAAAATATATTTGCACAATTTTTTTAAATAATTGTTTTTTTTTTTTGTATGAATTAACAAATTTGTCATTTATTATAAGATAAAGATTAAAAGTAATAAATGAATGAAGAGTAAAAAAATAAAATTTGTGTTTAAAAAATTAAATAGAACAATAATTATTGGACATCCCAAATAAAGAAATAATACATTAGTTTGTGGACGAAGAGAGTAATATATTTCAAACCCCATCCCACCTTGATTTATTGGACATAGTTTGCAAACTTAGTCTATTTATTTAAATTATTTAAAGTATCATAAAAAAATATATATATTTATGATATTTAAATTATTAATTGAGAGTGGTGGGGTAGGGTGGGTTTGCTAGTTACATTTTTACATAGATTTTTGAAATTTTAAAAATTTTAATTTTTTTTAAAAAAAATAAATTAGATAATTAAGATAATGTTATATATATAAGTAATTAATGTAATATTTTTTTAAAAGAAACATTACTATTGATACGTCTGCTTATAAAAATATATATTTTTTCGGTCTTACTGAAAGGTTGTTATTTTTCATTTTCGTTCGTTTCAAAACAAAGTTACTATTTCCTAATTTAGTAATTGTATTACCTATTTAACATAATAAATACTCTTCCAACTTACACTATATTACATAAATATCATTACTTTTATATTACACAATACTAATAGAGATATTTTTGTCTGTTTTCACTACAAATCTATTATAGTATTAATATTAAAAAATTTATATGCAAAAAATAAACGATACCCTTACACCGGGACGGGGAAGTATATGAATATGAACAAACCAACCCTTAGATGATTATTATTGAAAATTTGAAACTGCAGTAAGTAATTCTGTCTAAAATATATGTCAACCCTGATTTTATTTTTATTATTATTTTTTTTTCGAAGTAGTCAACTTGAAGGTAATTTCGGTTCGAATATGTTTTGGCCGATGATGTTTTCAAAATTATTAGTAGCTTTGAGTACTTTCTAAATTAGCACACATAAAATATAGAAACAATACATGTCTTTATTACATACAGCACAAATTTGAGTTTGAAGCATTAGATGTTTTGGATCCAACAAAATAATTACTCTCCGTTCTCTTTTGTAATAATAACATGTGATGTTTGTTCATAACTACAGTCTGTGCTGTATGAGAGTATGTTATGTACTAAAATCAATTATTGTATGTGATGCATGAGAATATATCACGTATTGCATTTGTATTATATTAACGCATGCTGTGTGTTGTCTCTGATTATATTGTGTGTTGTCTTAGCCGCCGCCTTGAAAAATAATTTTGATATATTATTTTATAAGAAAAAAATAATACTTCATCCATCCCTAACGAAAGTATACATTTGAATTTTTATAATAGATTACAAAATAATATTTAGTATTTTATTAATCGATAGAAATATTTAAAATAGTTTTAATATTTTATAATTTATGTAAAAGTTAAGGATATTTTATTATTAACATGTGATTATTTTTACAATAATAAAAAATAAATATTTTTTAATTGAACAAATAAAAATAATAAAAATATAATTTCAATTTGAACTAAAAGAATATAATTTTATGAAAACATTACAGGGATTTTCAAGGTAATTTTTTTTAAAATAATGATTAAATGAACATTCTTTTAACAAACCCATTCTCTACATAAATTTTGCTCTAAATAATTGTAAGTAAGTAAAAACGTCTATATAAACGGATATAAATAATAATATTGTGTCCATTTTTTTTTTAAAAAAAAAAACATTGCTATATTTTAAATATGGAAAATAGAAAAAAAATTAAGGATGGGTGTAGTACAATTTAGGTATATTGTAGTGCAACAAAGTTAAATATCGATAAAAATTGAATGTCGATTTACATGCAATTTATTTTATTACTATTTGATTTATGATATAATATATATCATTAAAAAAATTAAAATATATATTTAAATATTCTAAAATTATATATCAATAGAATATACTCTATCTCCACGTCTAAAAAAAGATTATATGATACAGACAAATAAAAGATAATTTTATGTATATATATATATTAATATATTAATTTTATAAAAAGAAAAAATTGAAAATTATAAATATATTTGTTTATTTCGAAAAAGGAAAAATAAAAATAAGAAATTATAAGTAAATTTTACTTGAAAATTTATTTGAAAAGAAACTTTAAAAGCACAGTACAATTCACACATAGTAAATTAACCCAAGTAAATCTTAAATAAGACCATATGATATTTAAAGTAAATCTAGTACTCTCTTCGTCCCAGAAGTATAGTCTTGGTTGTGTTTGGCAAGAGATTTAAGGAATATTGATATTATATTGATAGTAGGTAAAAAATACGGGTAAAAGACTTTTTTGTGAGTGTATTAGTGTAAAAGGTAGTGTCAATTGTATAATAATAATGAAAGAGTAAGAGTAATTTTATAGTGATATGATTATTTATGAAAAATGAGACTATTGTTTTGGGATTGAAAAAAAATGATCAACAAGACTATTGTATTGGGACGGAGGGGGTATGAGTTTTATGATTTTGCTTAGGCTTATGGTGTCTAGTTGTGCTTAAATATTACTCTTTCCTTATACTAGCAATGTATTCATTTTATCATTTTAAATTGTTCATAATCAATATATCATTTTTCTAATTCAACAAATATGATCTTCACACATTATAAAACAATCTTATATTTCAATTAAACTTACAACAATACCACTCCCTATTTAATGATATTGTCAAAGCTATTTTACTCGATAATACTCTTTAAACATCGGTAATCATCACACATCAAAATAATAATAATAATAATAATAATAATAATTCTTTATATACATACAAAAAAAATAAATAGATATATACATTCTAAACCGATGAAGTAGTAAAGTAAACTTATATTTGAATCTTATATCAAGAAATTTCATATTTACTTCAATTCGTTGCACATACTGCAATCTCAGAACTATTTACGTATCTTATCTTCCAAACCACGCATACTAAACAGAATCAAACCCTTTTTAAGGTATTAAAACCGTACGCACACAAAAACCTAATAATTCGATCGATCTACACATGTTATTAAAAGGTGACCTTAACTACTACTACTACTACTACTAATTCCCTTGCCAAACTTACAACACAAAAAATGTGGCAATCAAAAAATGGATGTAGAGTGTTGTGAAATATTTGAAAAGTATGAATGATAAATAGGGAAGGTGTGGAAAGTGAACTTAATTAGTTGTCAATAAAGAAAAGCCCTCTTGTTTCCATATCACACACACACACACACACATACCTATATCTATATCTATATCTATATATATGACCATGGCTTCGTCTTCTCGAAAAAAAAAAAAAAAATCATCAAAATGAGAAAAAGAGAGGTAAAAATGTTGTGGAGAATGTAGTTTGGTTCGAGGTTCTTGATCTTATGGTGTTGTGTTGAGAGATGAATGATCTCGGACCAGGCTTCATTCCCCTCAACTTTTGATGACTTATTCGACTACCCTTTGTCGATCGATCAATCAATCAATCCATCGGTTTTCTTCCAAATGATCATCGAGGAAGCCATCATTCAATCAAGGTATGTATATTTTTCTCAATTCAATCGTGTTATGAAACACCCATTTTTTTCGCACTCAAATGTTTCACAAACGACGCATAACTTTGAAATCATTTCGTGAGTAGTGTATATATATATATATATTATTTTGCGAGCATTGAGAAATCATACGGTGATCATCGAATATTTGCTAGTTAGTTAATCAAGTTTAGGGATCTCAACAAATTTAGAACAGAAGAATCAAAAACATATTTTGATTCTTCTTCCCACCATAGCAAGAAAATAAAAAAATAAAAAAATAAAAAAAAGTAAAAAATGTAGGGTCACAACACTCAATATCTATCTGCCAAATGTTCTTTCACTGTTTAACACCAAATTATAATCTTTTTAAAGATTGGGTTTGGTGAGAAAATGTGACCTGGGAAAGAAACACCAAAGCAATGTCTCATCTTCTTTCTATGAGACTTTACTTGTTCAGAGGGCCAAAGAATATATTGATTTGGATCTTGAGCTGTAATTATATATTTTAGAGGTGTTTTAGCACATCTTTTATATGATTCAATATTTGTTTTAGCTCAACTTATAGGTATTTCATAATTTTACATTATTATCAAGAAGAATTTTTTTCATTAAATAAATAAAAATTTAAGATATTTGTAATATTAATTTCAACATATTTATACGAATTCGACATTGTATTAATATTTTATATGACTCATTATACTCTATGCATAATTCAGCATATATTTTTTATATTGTTACATAATCGAACTCATACATACATGTGTGTGTGTATATATATATATATACACGCATTACGACATGAAATGAAGGGTGTGTTTTTGGCATGAATCTTAGTCAATACTCTGTTGAAGATTTTGGCCTTTATTATGTGATTTTGGATTCAAATTATGGACTTAGAAAAATTAGGGTTTGTTTCTTTGCATTTGGTTTGAAGAAAATTAATTTAGATTTTGTATTTAAATACTAATATTTAATAAAATATTTTGTAAAAATAAAATTTTGAAAAAATACAAAATTTAAATAATAAAATTTAAAAAATACTGCATATGTTAAAGAAACACACCATTAATTTCTAAATATTTGGAGATTATATATATATATATATATATGTGTGTGTGTGAAGTAGCTCATCATTACAAGGGTCAAAAGAAATGAGAGAGCCATGTTTGAAAGATGTGTGTTCAAATCAATTTTTTTGCTTTTTTGTGACTTGATCAAAATAATAATAATAATAATAATAATAAATCCTGTAAAGATAAGAAAATCTATATTTCAGAGGCAGGAAAGATTGGTTTTGTTTTATGAGTTTTGACCAAAAAAAAAAAAAAAAAACTATGTGCAAAGGTAACTAATTATGGGTGTTTTTCTTTTGATTTGATTGAAAAATTTTGATTTAAATTTGGTATTAAAACAATATGAATATTTTGTAAAAAAAAATAAAATAAAAAAACGCAGAATCCAAAGAATAATAGAAATTTTGGATATGATGGCTAAAAGAAACACATTCTATGTATTTATTAACAAGGCATAGTAATTTCATTACATTTAACAGCTTTGCTTTTCTTTTCTTTTTTTTTTTTCTTTTCTTTTTTATTAAATAATAAGTCGAATATGACAATTTTAGATGATGAATCTAAATAAATTTTTAATTTCAATTAATACTCAATATTCTTGTAATGTATTCTTGTCTTAACAAATATTGTCTTATAGTTGGTCCTAATGTCAAAATGATTAATTTGTGTTGTTTATGTGTCAATTTTCGATATTTATTTTTTGATTTGGTCGATGTTGTTTGCAGATGATTTGGGTATTTGATGGTCTTCAGTGATCCAATTTGATATGGGCCCACTTTCTTAAAGAGACTCATATTAATCAAAATGATGATCCATAAATTGACATCATGACTGCTTGTCCCTATTGTCACAAGTTGGAATAAAAACAAATTATGTTGCATCAATAAAGCTCATTATTTAAATTTTAAAGCCAGCAACACTATAGGTTTGTTTAAAATTCCACAATTACATGCTAATACTTCCTCCGTTTCGATGCAAGGTTATCGTTTACGTTTTGCGCATAAATTTTTTAATATTAGTATTATAATGAATTGTAGTGAAAACGACAAAAATATTCCTATTAGTATTGTATAATATAAAAGTAACGGCATTTGTGTAATATAGTGTAAATTGAAAGGATATTTGTTATATTAGATAGGTAGTATAATTAATAAATTAAAAAATAATAAGCTTGTTTTGAGATTGACGAAAATGAAAAATGACAATCTTTCAATGAGATAGAGGGAGTATAATTATTATACCATATTCTTTGCTTGTCCGTCAGATTTATTCACTTTTTTAGCCAATTGGTTAAATTTTATTCAGAATTTACAAAAAATACCACTGACTTTATTAAAAAAAATTTATTTACTTTAATTTCTAATTAAATTTTCAAAAATACTTTCAACTAACTTTTTACTTTTATTACTTTTTTTAATAAAATATCTATTTTTCTTAATCTCGGCCTGCCTAGTGATCTAATTTTAATGGCCGAAAGGAGTATTTGTCAACAAAATACAAATGGGAAAAGTTTAAGCTGACCAGCCCTAATCAGCATCATATAAAAATACGCCAAACAACACATAATATCCCAAATCACACGTGAGTTATAAACAATTTTACGGTTTTATAACATGTACCTGGAGCAGACAAAACTATTCCCTTTGTGAAGTCGATCGAATCTTACAGAGATTCTTTGTCGATGATACAGGCCAGCCTGCAATGGATTAGTCTTCCGATATCAATACAATAATCAAGCGAATACGGATTATGGAACTTAACACTACTCAATCATCACTGCAATGGAAAAAAGTGAAAAAAGATTTCGGGTTTGATGTTCTTATGCTAACAAACCAACCACAGAATCCGAAAGTAATTTCCAAAAACTCAGATCCACATGGATTCCATGTGCGTGTTTTGCTCGAGATTGTTAGTAAAGCAATGATCTAATGGCTGCAACTGCGTCGCCTTTGTGCTCTCTCAATGTCCTTTCGGCGACTTTCTTGTCCAACTGCTCTCCAAAGTGACGATAAAGCTCATTAGCAATCCAAGCTCGTGGAAACTAACTTAATTAATACAAAAAGTCAATATTTTTGACGAATATTACCTCCAGTTCATTTGCAATGATTTCAACATCGGCGGTATTAATCTTAACAGCAGCCAACTCTTTCTCCCTGTGACGATTTTATAAATAGAAAAAGATCAAATGCATAAACAAGCACCGTAAACCACAAGCCCTAGTTTTATAAATCAGCGAAATCATATATGTTTATTAAGAAATCACTGAAATAACAACACTGCGAATTAACTATTAAGCTTTCGGGCCATTTCAATCTATTCAGTTTGCAAACTGTACTAACATCTCGTATCATTAAAAATTGTCCTAATCTAACAAGGTATATACAACCAACAAAGGTATAAATTATAATGCCTAACTACACCAATAGACATTGATCGCCGAGTCACTTCAAGAAAGCATACATTTCTTCAAAACTTCCCATATTGCTATATTAAATTTTCTATAACTCAAGTGCCAAAGCTTTCCATAAAGACCATCTGAAACAACTTCCCTTAGCTAAAAAAAAATCCACAATACCATGGTTTATTTCAAAACTTCTTATGTTTCTACATTATCAATAACTGAAGTGCCAATGATTGCTGCAAAGGCCATCGGAAACAACTTCCATTAGCTAAGAAAACATCCATGGCTCCACACGACCATGGCTTTCTTCAAAACTTGTCATATTTCCAATTTACATTCTCGAAACTTCTATGCACAATTCTACTCAAGTTTGGGATCAAAAAACTTAATTGAACAAACTGATACAAATTATGAGTCATTGCCAACTGGATTTCAAACAATATTTAATCATGAATTAAGTTACACAGCAATATCTGCGGACTTGATTCAAAACTTCGAAACAACTCAAACCCCAGTATATAAATTATTCTCCAAAGTCAACCCAAAATGCAATGAACACCCACTTCTGAAGCATTAAAGCACTGCAAATCTACACAAACCACCATACTCTTTTAGATTCAGCTTCAATTGCAAATACAAGCTTTAGAAAGTAACTTTTTGAAATCATCCATAAACAGCCACTGATTCTTAAATATCCACCAAACTCTACTCTCTACACAACATAAAAAGCTCACCCTTTTAAAGAAAAAAATAAAATAAAAAAAATACATGTCTCATCGTGAGAAGAGTACCTCAATCTGGCAGCTTGAAGATCGGCTTCTTTTGAAGCAGCAATGGAAGCCATAGCCTGAAAGTCCGAAAAGAAAATTTATCACATTATAATGGACGAATCGACTGCAGAAACTCACACATAGTTGTTAAACGAAAGCCAGTCACCTCCTGGACTCGAGTAGAGTCAAGTTGCCGATCCTCAACCCGATCGGTGAGTTTATCGAGAGCTTTGCTCTGCTGCTGCATGTCTTTAGAGTCAACCAGTCTCTCCACTCCATCATCGCCTCCCTCCATAGCTCTTAACCGTGAATTCCAGCAGTTTTGATGAAAAACGAGATCTAATTAAAAAAAACAAAACAAAAGAGGAACACGTCAAAATTGCTTCGAATTCCTGAGATTCTCACAATTACTTCGCTTTTAGCCATAAACCAACAACATCGAATCGAAAAAACATAAGTAAAAATTTGAAAAGATTCTCCCACTTTCTAAATATTGAAAAAAATTGAAGGACTGAGCTTACAATTCTAATGCGACTGCAGGCGGTTGGAGACGACGGCAGCTGATCAAGTTACGAAGAAGAAGAGAGGCGGCGCCGCCGTGCTGGAGCGAAGTCGTGAAGGGGAAAGGGTAACGACTATCAGACAAATGAAATTAGGGATAGGGCAAGGGTCGTTTAGGATTGGGCTTGGGCTCGGGCTCGGGCTCGGGCTCAAATTCGGCCCATACACTAAAGAATGATTAAAAAAAAAAAAAAGAAGAAAAGATTCAATTAAATTAAATAGTAAAATAATTTATATATAAATATCAAAATATTTAATATTTTTATATTTATTAATTTTTGTATTTTTAAAGATAAAAATATTAAAGTTATTTTATATTTTTACTAACTAAGATAATATTATTATTTTTTAGTTCATTAAAAAAATTATTATTATTTTAAATTGTGATAGTTCGAATGTAATAAACTTTGAACTATACGATGTATTGAGTTTGATTTTGATTTTGATTTTGATTTTTAACAGCAATTTTGCTTGAATATTTTGTAAGCAAAAATAATATTCTTTCGATACATAAAATGTTTGTTTTTTTATTTCGATCTATTTCACATAATTTGTTCTTTTGGAAATACGAGTATATACTCGATTACATTTTAAATTTCATAATTTATAATTTTTTTTAATTTTAATTTAATCTATAATTATTTTTTTAATATACTTTTTAATTACTTATTAATTATATTTTACCTGAATTTTTGTATATACATTAATGTGGATATTTTATTCGGGATGGAGAAGATATATTAAAAAAAAATCACATAATTATGAAAAAAAAAAAGTAAAAAAAAATAAAGAAGCAATAACCAAGGGTCAGTTTGTTTTATGAAATGTTTGAAGGGATAGTTTTTATCTAATACATAAAAAATTGTATAAGTAATATAAAATAATAAATATGTGTAAGATATAATTATTTTTTTTGGAAACTTTTCACAAAAAGGACATACCCCAAAAATTCCAAAGAATAGAACTGTAGTGCATGTTTTGGTTTGTGTGTGGTTTTTTTGAATAAATTATATACCACAATTAAAAATACATAAAACACTTTATATTTTATTTATTACGTGAAATTGATAGTTAGAAATCGCATGCGTTTTATATTCATATCATATGCAATATTTGGGTGATTTTGATTAAATTCTACCTAATTTATATGCGAATTGTTTATTTGTTGTGTGGAGAAAGCAAATATTAAATTTGGCATAATTGGCAGAAAAATAAAATAAAATTAATTAAAGGCTCAAAAGCCCATCTACAAAATAATTAGGACAAAAATTAAATAAGAAAAAAAAAAAAAAAAAGGCACGCCTAATTGGGGAGGGGAGAACGGCTAGAGCACACAGGAGCAGGAGACTAACAGACTCATAGATCGAGCATGAGCAAATCGACAGAGAAGATTCCCCCTCCCGCTATGACTTTATATTTCTCTTTTGTTCTTTGTTATTTAATTATGAAGTAGATATTTTTGTGGTTTGAGGGGTGATAATGTTTTGGTTCTTTTATTTTGGATATTCTTGATTTTCTTTATAAAAGTTCTTTTTTATTATCAATATTTGTCTAATTCTGATAATAGCGTTTGTGATTGTTAGATTGATTGAATATTTTGGTACCGATATTTAAATTATTCTGATAATCTAAAGTCAATTCAGGTAGGATATCCGTAATTGTATTTGCACTTGAATAGGTGACAACCGGGTTGAATAGTTCCTTTACGAGGGTTAGACAATCAAATCTAATTGCTCCTCCTAGTTAGTAATTGTTTTGAATTGAGTTTTTCTAGATTACAATGCGGTTAGGCAATATTCTTGTAGTCGCACCTAGGTTTATTTACTTAATTAAAGGTAGTTAACGGTCGTACCTTAATGACCTACACTGTAAGGAAAAATTGGTTGTCCGAGCTTGTTGATAACTATAACCAATTTATTGATACTTTAATAATAATTAACTTTATTGAATTAATGATAAAACACAAGTGTCATAACTGCATCATCCCTTGAGCCAGACATCCCCTTGATAATCAGTTCCTCTTTAATTTAATTGTTTTGTTATTTTATTTTCATTAGATAATAAAAGAAAAATCTCCCTTTATTTACTGCATTAGAATACGAAAGAGTGAATCACACAATCCCTGTGGAGACGATCTCTTCCCATGTATTATATTAAATTGTGATAACGGATTAAGTGAAATATTTGATTGACCGCGCGACAGGTCAGAAATCCATTGTGTTAATATAAATTTTGCACGAAATATTCTCATTGTCCAAAACTAATATTTAGATTTAAATAAAAACCTAATTTACGTAACTTTTATACAAATAAAAAAACACAAAATATCTTAAATAATTTTTTTTCATAAAATAAATAAATAAATAATTTATTAATCCTTCATTTTATAGTTTTTTAAACAAATTGATATTTTTTTTCCAAGAACTATAAAAATAAAGGGAAAAAGTCAATTTTGATCTCAATATAATTAAAATTTATCAATTTTGGTCATAATATAAAAAATTTATCAATTTTAGTCTCATTATAAATAATTTCAATCTATTTTGGTTATATTATAAACAATTTAAATTAATGTTGATCTTTCCGTTAAAAAACTAACAGAAATTGGTGGTATGGACGTAAAGAAGTTGACGTGACAACTGACCTGGAAAGTACGCAGTCATATACAATTATACACGGTCATGTTATTACATGACTATGTATAATTTTACACGGCTATGTACCTTTTTTTTGGAGTAAAATTTTATTTTTTTCTTATATATTTTTTTTAAAAAAATTATTTTGAATTTAGAATAATTGATATAGTTAAAATGAAAAAAAAATCAATATTAATCATAATATAATAAAAATGTATCAATTTTAGTTCAAATATAAAAATTTATTGAGTATGTTCATTTGGAAAATTTTATTTAAATTATTCTATTTACCAAAAAATATATATTATATATTTTCTTAGCTCCGTTTGGATTGGTTTCTATTTTTAAAAAAGCACTTTGTACCTGTTTGTATTGACTTCTATCCAAAGGAGAAACAATTTTTTAGGCTGAAAAATGTTTTTATTCAGAAGCACATTCAGAGTAGCTTCTTAAATAAGGAAAAACACTTTTCAGCTAAAATTACTGGTTTATCCTTAATAATAATAAATACAATACTATAATATAATATATTATAAAATAATTAATTTATATATTACATTCTTAAAAAAAATTAAAAATATTATAATATTATTATTTTTAATTTATATATTATACTTGAATTAAAGTTTAAAATTATAATTAAGATACCGAATTTAAATAGAAGTATATAATTTTTTTAATTATATTAAAATTATTAAATATAAGTTATAAAATTTTAAAATAAATTGAAAAATATGAATAATTTAATATTCCTATTATATTATAATTTTATTTTTAATTTATATATTTTCTTTAAATTAAAATTTTAAAATATAAATAATTAAATTTTAAAAATATATTTTCTATACTTTTATTTAAAATATTTAAATATAATAAAAATATATAATTTTTATAAAAAATACAATTATATTTACAACATGTCCTTTTGAATAATTTTAACAGTTTAAAATTATTTTTAACTCTACTATATCTAAACAATTTTTTTTATGAAAAATTACTTTTATAATAATTCATCCAAATACAAAATCAAACTTTTGACTTCTATTTCTGCTTTTGACTTATACTTATCTTTTAAGTCAATCTAAAAGAATTCTAAAAAAATATTATATGGAATTATATTTCATGTATTTTTATTGATTTTTATGTGTTTTTATTGATTTATATATACATATAGGAGTATTATATTTTTGCGGAAATAAACATTATTTCTAAGGGCGGGTTCACTTTGTGTTTTTAAAATGACACAATTTTCTATAAATACTCTCTCCGTCCCGCAGAAAGGTTGTCATGGTCTTTTTACGTATTGATCTTTGAATATTAATTATTATATCAATACGCACGCGGTAGAAATCAAGAGAAAAAGACAAAAATACGTTTATTAGTCTCTTATAATACAAATACAATGATATTTGTCGAGTAAGTTATTCAAATATAAGGATATTTTTAATATTAGTACAATGACGCAAAAACCAAATGACAACCTTCTTGCGGGACGGAAAGAGTATTATTTTTTTAAAAAGAAATACATTATATACACACATGAGTACAATATAATATATATACACTTTATCAATTGACAAGAATTCAACACAAAATATTATTTTTTATATTACAGGTACAATTTTTCATATTAAAAAAAAAAGAAAAAAAAAACAAATTCACCAAAATATAGAGTGAACACACCCTAAATTCTGGGACAGTTCTATTGGTCGACTCCCGTATGGAGATAAATAAATAAACGACGCGTATCTTAACAGTTTAAACTTTTAACTTTGTCCTCTATTTATGGTCGTCCACATGCAAGTTTAATAAGCTTTTAAATGAGATTTAGACGGTCATTTATATCATTTAATAAGTATTATTTTCTTAGAGTTTTATTTGTGCATCAAACAATTTTAATTGATGTTTTTTTTAAAAAAAAAAATATTGAATTTAACTGTTAAAGATAGCTAGATTAATATATTTAAAAATTCACAATATAATTTATTTCAATTTTATTTTGATATGTTTTAATCTGATTAAAAACATTATTTATTACAAAAAATTACTATCATTTTTAACAATAATAATTATGACTTGTAACGCCCAATCAATAATGTTGAGATATTTTAGATATTCGGTTTTAGATTTAGCAGATTTATATCTAGATTTGATCTTATTCGTATATTAGATTACTTATATTTGAGTCCTGTTTTGTATTTCCTAGACTCGTTATTTTGATTATCAATAAGAAAATCTCGTTATTTTTTTCCAAAATTTCTAACAAATAATATTTAATGTATTAATAAATTTAATTTGATTAAAATTAATAAAACCAACTTATTTAAGTTACAAGCACACGAGACATTCAATATACAAATGTATCTTCTAAAAATTCTCCAAATTTGTATATTTCACTATTCTATAAGAAAAAGAATATACAATATATTTCTTTAAGATTTAGATTGGGTTTCCATGTATATTTTAATATTAGATTTAATATAATATTTTAAAAAATATAGATATGTTTTTGCTATTCAATATGTATTGTATTTTTTTGTTTACTTGTTACATATCAATTCTTAAATATTACTCCATCCGTCCCATATACCGTGTCTGCTACACCGTAGTAACAGTATTTTAGGAGGAGAGTAATTAGTAGATAATTAAAATGTATTAATGAAAATAATTATTCTATAATATAAATAATTAAAAATTAAGATTAATATAACTAATTAGTTTAATTAAAATAAAAAAAATTAAAAATTTAAAATGAGATTAAAGTGTGTAATCATTTTTCAAAAAGGGAAAATAACATGGTATGTGGGACGGACAGAAACGGCAATGTGAACATGGTATCTGGGACGGAGGAAGTAGTATTTTATAATTATATAATACAATAAATGGAGAGTTATATTAAAAATTTTAATATTATTCATGTTGAAAGTACAATTAATAAAAATAAAAATAAATAAATAGATTGATTTAAGATGGATGAAAAATAAATAAATAAAAATTGATTCAGAACATAATTCAAAAACCATAAAATTCAAATAGTAAATACAAAAAAATAAAGTACGCCCACAAATGAGCTCCGTTCACCCACCATGTTTAGATTAAATAATTTTTTTTGTGTAAAATATAAAATATGTTATTTTAAATTAAATATTTTATTTATTTTTTTTATTTTTTTTACTTTTTTTACTAATATATAAAGTGATGATGAAAATACAAAATTAATATTTCTTCGAGGTTTAAATTTAGTTCACAAGTTAAAATTTTTATTTAAATAATATTTGATGGGATGAAATATATATATTTTCAACATACATAAAATTCAAATAATAAAAACTACATAAAAATTTTATAGAAACACCGCAAGAGCTCAAGACTCAAGTGCTTATTTATCTCACCTCTTAAAAAGTCATGAGTCATGCGTGTCTTTCAGTTACTCATAAAATAAAAAATTAAATTAAATTAAAAAAAATAATAATATACTTAATTATGCGTTGTTTCATTCGATCGATCTCCCACAAGTATGCAAATAAATTAACAATTTGAAACTAAAGGGCACAAGTAGCTTAGTTTGCTTAAAGCCAACCCTCTTTATCGATGTACGACAAATCAATAAACGGTTGCAAATTCTTGCTCGAATGTTTGTTGACCCACCCGACCCTACCCGTCGTGTTCGCGCCCATGCCCCGGCAATCGATCTCCGAAAACATTAACTTGTACCTGAAACACACGATAAAATTCATATTCATATTAAATAAAATATTAAAACAAAATAGGTAAATTGTTCCTCACGTAATCTTATTTATCGTTTTAGAACTGTAAGTAAACTTAAAAATAACCCCACAATTCAAAAATTGTAGGATTATTCTTGCGTAATGTTTACTTACTGTTCTAAAATAATAAAAGGTCACGTCAAAAATTAAAAAAAAAATAATAATTTATTCAAATATATATAATATATGAAATTGATGGATAAATACTCTTGGCCCTGAGAACGCCACGAATCCCATCCCTGAGGCACGACGACGTCGGACATCAAAGTTTTGTAGAAAATGACTCGAGAATATATTCCCCACGGCCTTCCAAGATACACTTTTCCCTTGCCATCGATGTTGCAATTCTTAAAAACGAACCCGTTCGACTCGTAGGGGTATGATCGTCCTTGCGCCGTGATGTACCCGACGTATCCGGGGCCAATTGCATCGACGTTAACAGATATTGTACATCCCTCGTAGATGGATTGGCCCGAACCGAAAATGAAATCCACGGCCCCCTCAATTGTGCATCGATGGAAATAATGGCGGCCTCTTACATCCCACAAGGTGTCCTGAAGTCCGAGGAATCGGCAGTTGTAGAAGGCGACTCGGTCGCCGTCGATTTTCGCCGCAACCGCCGGATATATCTGATTCCGGGAAGGTCCATAGTTGTATGAATTCTGCTAATGCATGTACAACATCGTTTATAAACTTTTATCAAATTTCTACTACTCATCAAAATTCTCTCTAAAAAATATCAAATCAGAACGCTTATTTTTTATTTTTTATATTATACTAAAAATTAATTTTATATTCAAAAAAATTATATTTATATTTATTTATATCACATCGTACAACTATTCAAATTCAAATTTTTTACCATTCGAATCTCAAACTAAAATCAAAACTACCAAACAAATACACTATTAATTAATTGTAAAAGTAAAAATGATTCAAAAATAAATAAATTTTACATTTAGACATAAGTAAAAAAGTATTTGATGCCGTGTGAATACAATGTCCAATAAACATGTTTAACGTGATATTTTAAATAGAAAAAAATATATATATATCGACTAAAATATTTTTGAAAAAAATAATAATTTAAAATTACAAAAATTAAGTTGCATTCTTTGGAGTTTGATTTCAAATATAACTCTAGCAATTCTTATAAATTTACCATATAAAATATAAATTTACAATACAATATATAAATTAAATAAACAAATTCATTAAAAAAACAAATAAGTTTCAACAAACCAAAGTAGTAACACAAACAAAATCATCAAAATTTAAATATTTCTAAACATTAAAAAAAAAAAAAAAATACTCCAACCAAGAACTCCAAAATACTCTTGATTTGTTTCTTCAACAAAATTTTTTCTAACACAATTTTCCAAATAAATTAATATAATATACATATCCATTATTTTATATTATCAAAATAATTATCTAAAAAAAATAAAAAAAAAATAAAACCAAAATACAAAACAAAAACACCCCTAATCCCGCACATGTTCTCGTAATATTTCATATGTCGGATCATTAGAATTTTGTGTATATACAAATTCAAATCGATCCAAAACCCCAATAATTAAATCTTTTTTCAATCCGATTAAATCTAAAAAATTCGAAATAAATATATAACAAGATAGATAATAATAATAATAATAATAATAATAATAATAAAAAACAAATTAAATTAAATTAAATTAATTACCAGAAAGGTCAAACCCTTAGCCCTGGTATCATTTGCTTCAGAAATAAAAGTGGCACTCTGAATACTGTCGTGACCATCCCAAGCAATAACCGTTTTCAGTCGAGATTCTCCCTTCAGAAATATGTACGGCTTCTCCCTGGGAATCCGAATCTGTTCTCTATATTTTACATCAAATTTAATTACAACAAATAATTAATTAATCAATTAAATTAATTAATTAATTAATTTAATTTAATTATAAAAATTACTCAACCTGTAAATCCCCCTCCTAATTTCAATACAAACCCATCTAAGGTTGTCCTTAGGCACTGCATCGATAGCTGCTTGAATACTCCAAAAATGGCTTCCCGACTGATCGACGACGATCGTCGATTGACATTTTATCCGAGGAGCGACGACGTCGACGTCGCTCCTCGGCCATTCCGGATTATTTCGATTTGGATATTTTACAAAATCGCCGCTCTCCGCCGCCGCCGCCGTCGAATAAACAGCCATAACAAAGATCATAAAAAGATCCATTTTTTTATTTTTTTTTAAAAAAAAAACTCAATCCCAAGAGCCAATTGTGTATAGGGAAAATATTATATATATATATATTTGGGATAAATATTTTTGCCCTATTAAAATAGGCATTTAATTTTTAATTCAATGCCATATTGAAGGAGAGTCAAAATTAATTAATTGTTATTTAATTAGTTAAGGTTATTTCTAAATGAAGGATCAAATTTTGCAGCAGGTATAATTGATGTTCATGGGATTAGGACATATATAAAAAGTTATTGCACTAATTTGCGTTACTTATTTTTTAATTTTTTTAAATAATTTATATAATCAGATACTCCCTCCGTCTCACACATCATGTCCACGTTGTCATTTCTGTCCGTCCCACATACTATGTCACTTTCATTTTTTGAAAAATGATTATATACTTTAATCTCTTTTTAAAATTTTAATTAAACTAATTAGTTATCTTAATCTTAATTTATAATTATTTATATTATAGGAGAATTATTTTTATTAATACATTCTTAATTATCTATTAATTATATTCCTCCTAAAATACAGTGTCTACAGTGTAGCAGACACGGTATGTGGGACGGAGGTAGTAATATTTTGGTAAGTTATTAACCGACCTTTGAATACCATATCTTCTACGTAATTACACATTATTTCTTTATTCTAATTGTAATAATGTTGATTACTTTTACAGATTTTTTTTTTATTTTATTTTTTTATTAATGGTTAATGCAATAATTTCAATATATAAATCTTTACCCAAATAATAAAAATCGGTTGGGGGGTTTGGTGTATAATTAATTGGGAAAATCTTGATTTTCCATAATTTGAAATTGCAAAATATTTAAAGAAAACAAAATCTATAGAAGAAAATGTGGGAAGATAATATAAAAGACTATTTTGTTTGTTGGTCTAATCTGCGGATTATTAAATTTGGTTCAGAAAGTTTATCTGAAGCACATTTGAAAAATAAGGACAGTAAATTTTCATGAAAAAGTATATTTAGCTAAAATAATCATTTTAACATTGTATCAGAACAAAATATTTCATGCTCGAGTCTCACCGCCGTCGTTAGAAAATTGTGAGGGGTAAAGCGGTTCCTTACATTTATAGTACTCATGGCGAAAACATATTAAGGACCCTTTTAATTATACAATTTTATATTAAAAATAAATACTCTCTTCGTCCACTTACAATGTTTACATATTTCTATTTTGGGACGTCCAATTACAAAGTTAACATTTCATTAAATACCCTATTTTTTTCTACAAATACCCTTACTTTACATCACATTATTACTTTTACACAAAAAAACGTAAGGACAAAAATGTCATTACACTACTTTTAACTACTCACTATAATTAAAATACTATTATTTCTTAAATACCGCGTCAAAGTAAATGTCAACCTTCTAAGTGGACGGAGGGAGTATAAAAATACTCCCTTCGTCCCGCGATGGATGAATCTTTTTATGATGGACACGGTTTTTTAGGTAATGTAAATTACTAAGTTATTAATAATAAGTTATGATATTAATTTATTATTTTTTATATGAATCATATTATTGGTATTTTAAAAAATTTTAAGATTATATCTCGAAAAATATATGCAATATGAATATCATTTTTATTTATTTATCATTAACATAAATTAGTTTTATAAAAAATGAGGAGTTTTAAACATAGATAAAAAATTATGTTAATTGAAGAGAGAGATAGAAATAAAGGAGTTTTGAGTGGGTTCTACGGGTAAGATGTTAGAAGTTTAATTAAATTGATTTATATTTGTTAAGTATGTTTAAGATTGATAAAATTACAAAAATGGAAATGAATCATCTTCTGTGGTCATTAAAAAGGAAAATGGGTCATCTGTGACTGGACGAAGGAAATATTAGTTATTTTAATTTAATAATAATAATAATAATAATAATAATAATTTTTTTCTAAAAAAAAAAAAGAAAAAGGAAAAATAATTTAAATATAATATTGTTAACACGAGATAATCTTAAATAAATTTTCAATGATTTTAAAGATAAAAATTTTAATTCAAGAATATTGGGACAATATTTGTAAAATATTATGTAAAATAATTAAAATATTCAAATTGATTTTTAAATTACTTTGATGTGTGTTCACTTGTATTTATATTTTAAAATATAGGATAATTATTTGATATGATATTTTAAATATATATTCTTCTGTTCCACTAAATTTGTCTAAGTTTTTCTTATTTGGTTGTCCCATTAAATTAGTCATATTTTTTAATTAAGTAATAATTAATAAATATTACTCCCTCAGTCCCAGATACCGTGTCTGCTACACTGTACATACGGTATTTTAGGAGGAGTATAATTAGTAGATAATTAAAAATGTATTAGTGAAAATAATTATTTATAATATAAATAATTATAAATTAACATTAAGATAACTAATTAGTTTAATTAAAATTAAAAAAAAAATAAAATTTTAAAATAAGATTAAAGTGTGTAATCATCTTCCAAAAAAAGGAAAGTCACATGGTATGTGGGACAGACAGAAACCGCAACGTGAACGTGAACATAATATCTGGGATTGAGGGAGTATAATTTAATCATAACTTAACTGCATTCTATTAAATTTTTTTTTTTTTTTTTATTATTAATGTTTGTTCGATTATATATTTGAGAGTTGAATTTGATGTTTTTAATAATAAAATTTTAGATTGAAATAATTTGATGTAATATAAATACGTATTGACGTAATATTTTTAAATATTAATTTTTTATATATATAATATAAAAAATAAAAGTGTGTTTATTTGTATTTTTAGTTTTTTTTTTATGTTAGATATGATAAGGGTGTAGCACTATTAAAAAATAAATAAATAAATAAAAATTCATTCAATTATTAAATTTTTATAAACGTATATATATTATATTTTTAATAATATTAATCGTAAAGCCTATAAAAAAAAATTCTTTTTGGAGTGTTTGGTTTAAATAATTTAGGTTGGAGAATCAATGTTTATTTGATTATGGTTGAAATTCATTTAAAATGAAATATTGAATTAAATTTTTATTTAAATTGTAGTATTTTAATTTAATATTTTATAAAAATAAATAATAGATTATTATAAGGTGGAAAATATTAATTTAAATTTGAAATGGTAAAAGAACAAATTCTAAATTAATGAGATTTGAATTTATGTTTTAATTTTAAAAAAATAAAAACCCAAGGTTACGTATTTTTTGTATTTTATTGTTAATTATTGAAAATTGTAATATTATTAAAATATTTAATTATATTATTTAATAAATATTATTCTAAAATTATACTATTTTTGTCCCACTTACCATACAATGTTCATCCTTTTATTAGTATGTCTCATTTATGTTGTCATTTTTTTTAAAAAAAAAAAAGTTATACACTTTAATCTAATTTTTTAATTTAAATTTTAATTAGACAATTGATTATCTTAATTTTAATTTATAATTATTTTTACAAATATATTCTTAATTATTTACAAATTATATCTCTCTTAAATTCTTGTATCTACTGAGTAAAGAGGACATTGTAGCCGGGACGGAGAGAGTAATATTTATTACTTATACAAATTAAGAATAATGCTTCCTCTTCTACGGAAAAGATTAAAAAAAATTACATTTTTTTCTATTTTTGTTTGTCCATTTAAAAGAATTACATCTTATTATGAAACTCTCTCTGTCCTAAACTCACTGCAATATTTCTAAATTTAAAAAAAATTAATAATATATATATTAATATAATTTTACTTTATCCCATCACATCACTAAAAAAAAATGATAATCATTTCTTTCTCCAATCATATCACTTAATATCCAAATTATCTCAAATTACCATATTTAATACTCTCCACCTTAATTTCTGTGCCAAACACAAATATTACACGGTGTTTGGGACGAAGGAAGTACTATTTATTTTATTACTCATTATAGATATTTTTTTTTTCAATTACACTTATTTACACAAAAATTATTTCATTACAATAAACTCACAAGGGTAATTTGTCATTTAATCTAAAATATTATCAATTATCATTAAAATATAATATTTTTTAATATTTATTTTAAATGCATTTTTTGTTCGTGGATGAAGGTAGTATATATTTAAATGGGTAAACTGTTTTTTTAGTTCCGTAACTGGACCCCTTTATCATTTTAGTCTCGTAAATGGAGCCTGTCGCAAACTAGTCTCATAAATGAAAAATTTTCGGCGCTGGAGACGCCCGCGTGGCTCGCCGGAGGTGACGTGTCCGCCAGGTCAGCGACACCTGGCGGCGGACACGTGGATTTATTATATTTTTTTTCATTTTTTTTAATTGGATCAAATAAAAAAAATACAAATAAAATTAAAAATAAATTAAAAATAAGTTTTAAAAAAATTAAAAAAATGAAAAAAAAATTAAAAAAATCCACGTGTCCGTCAGGTCAGCGACACCTAGCGGACACGTCACCTCCGGCGAGCCACGCGGGCATCTCCAGCGCCGGATGACTAAAACAGCGAAAATTTTTCACTTATGGGACTAATTTGCGATAGGCTCCACTTATGGGACTAAAATGATAAGAGGGTCAGTTACGGGACTAAAAAACAGTTTATCCTATTTAAATTATAAGAATCTATTGAAATTTCTTTTCATTACTATATATTTCATACCAGACATTTTCTTTGTAATTTTGTGTAACAATCCAATAAATTTCATTGAATTTTTTTGTTTTTAATGTATAAATTATTGAATATCTTAATATTTTAAATGATTTTAGAAATGTGAATGTGAATATCTCTGAATTTCGAAAGATTTTTATAAATTTAAAATTGAATATACTCCGTTCTTACAATGTTTTTAGATTGATTGATTTTGTATGTATTGTATGAGAAATTGTATCAAAAGTATAAAATATATTATTTTGAATTGAATATTTGATTTTTTAATTTTTTGTAGCAAGTATTTAAATTTTTTCTACATTTCTTACTTTTATAAAAAAAAAGAAAAGAAAAGAAAATTGTATTGTTTATTATGAGTTTTTTTTTTTCGAATTACAAATTGAAAAAAAGTTTCGAAAGAATCCTATAAAATATGAATTTAAATTATTGAATACACTTTTTTATGTTTAAAATAAAATAAAAAAATTATTCAGTGCAGAATATTAGATTCGATCGAAAGTTTACCAAGTTGATACTTTCGGTAGCGGCTCAGTTCCCACGTTATTAAAAAAAAAATAAATAAATAAAATGAATACACAGTGCAAAATATCATGATCTCAAACAACCACTATTTTGGATTCATCCGAAATTGTCCAATATATATATATATATATATATATATAAATATTGTCTCGTTCATGGCCTTCAATTTCCATTTATAAACAAACACGAGAAGATGGGAAGATGGTGATGTGTTTGGGGAATTTGTGAGGATTTACATTATTTTCAAAATATCAAATTAAATACCTATTTTTTATCTTTTATATTATACTCCCTCCAACCCTTAACAATCTATCATTTTTTCCATTTTGGTTTGTCTCATAACAAAAATATCCATTTCGTTTTTTAGTAATTGTATTATCTACCAAACATTACAAATACCCTTCCAATTTACAATATATTACACAAATGTCATTACCTTTATATCATATAATACTAATAGGGTTAATGTAGTCTTTTTACCTTTATTTTTACTTTATCCCAATATAATATTAATATTTCTAAAACTCTATTCAAAAAGCAAATGAATATACAGATATGGAACGGAGAGAATATTACAAATCAATTTTACATTCAAAATATCAAATCAACCGCTATTTATATCGTATTATACAATTATTCTAATTTAAAATTTTTACTATATGAAAAAATTCAATCGCCAAACAAACACACCCGAACGTCAAAAACTGAAAATTCAGCCAAAATCCACTCACATAAACAAGTCCCCAATTCCTGAATCCTGACACTTTTTCGTCGCTCCTCTCCACAAAATGGAACAAGGTATGCAATTCCACCACTCATTCTCTCCCAATTCCACCTCATACGCGCAGAAAACTGTTTGATTTCTTCCTCCGTACCTCCATTATCTCCTTAATTAATTGTTGTTGCATAAATTGCAGTTTCAGATCATCCTGGCTTCGCCAAAGCTGCGCTCGCGCCTATCGCTGCAGCAGCCTCAGTCGGACTGGTCGCCGCCGCCGTCATGCACTACCGCCGAGGCAAATCCAGGCCGTCCAAATCCGCCGGCGGCGACCTAGCTCCGGTGCTCTACCGGACGGAATCCGGCCGAGTCGGCAGAATCGAGCGGTTTTCTCATTATCTCGGTAGGTGATTTGTTAATTAGGTGGAAATGTAATCTGTTGTTTCTAGGGCTAAATTGATTGGAATTGGATTCAGCGAGGCAGCTAGGGTTGGAGAACGAAACTGAGTGCCCGCGGCTGACGAAATTGGCGTATGAGTACCTGAAGAGGTCGAAAGGCGTCGACGATAAGATTTACGAGTATTTGGCTAAGGAAGAGAACGCAGAGGGTTTGTATGTGAAATTGGTGGAGGAATTTGAGAGATGTATTCTTAGCTACTTCGCCTTCCATTGGAGCCATGCTCCTCTCATGATTACACAGGTCAATCAAAATCAAAATCAAAATAAAAAAACACACATATATATATATATATATCTTTTCTATAGCTTGAATTTTTGGTTACTCTTGGGTTGGGTATGAATTGATTCCGTGTTTGATTTGCAGGTGTTGAGTGTTGGTTCGGAGCAGAAGAAGCTGAAAGACTTGGTGATTGCTGCAACAAGGTCAGTGCTGTAATTTTACTGTGTTCATTAATTATTGTGTGATCTTTGGAGAAATTTGCTAAAACTGGGGTTGGATTATAGGTGGGACACATTATTAGTATGTAGTAATATATATTTACTGTGTGTTTGTTTGGGGGGTTGGGATTTTAGATTGAGATTTGAATAGTAAAAATTTTGAACTTGAATAGTTAAATGACTGTGGTATAAATAAGTATTGATGTGATATTTTGAATGTAAAATTGATTTTTAGTATAATATAAAAAATAAAAAATAAGTGTTTGATTCGATGTTTTTGGAGGTAAAAAATTGGATGAATAGTTGGATTTAAATCCAATCCTCCAAACAAACACCCCCTAATAAACTATATTTGATATTTGTAGTATTATTTTTTTATGAAGAATATAAATTTTCACATAATATTAATAATTAATTAATTAAATAAATTTGTATATAATTAATAGCATAATCTAGTTTATATTTAATTGTATATTTATGAGTTCATTGTCTATTTGAAAAATATATATTTACTATTATTCAAAGTTTAACAAATATTATATTTAAATGGTAACTGATTTGTTTATTTATTTTTTATATAAAAACTTTTTCGTCAAGATATTTTAATTTAATTAATAACATTGATATAAATAAGTGTTAATTTAAACATATTTGTATGTAATAGGGTTTATATTTATTAAAAGGATATATTTTATATTTGAGAAAAAAAAATAAAAAATAAAGTAATTAAATGGTGGTTTTATTTTATTTTTGTTCAGTCATTTAAACTTAATTTATTATTATTTATTTACAATAAATATTATATATTTGCTCTTTTTTTTAATTAAATTTTAAAAAATACTTGTATCTATTATTTTACTTTTAACACAATTTTTTATAAAATATTTATTTTTCTTCTAATAAAGGGATAATTATGCACTTAGCTTTTTCCGTTTATGTCATTTCACTTTGCTCGTTTTGTTTTGTTTTTTTTTTTTTTTTTTTTTTTTTTTTTTTTTAAAGAATGGTTTCAACTTTACCAGAGTGGTGAATCATAATAAATTACAATTTGATAGACATGAATTTAGATAAAAATAAAGTTATATATATATGATATTTTTAAAATAAAACTAATTATTTAACATTAGATGAATAATGAATTTTGATAATATAATGGGTTTGTTTGTTTTTTTTTCAAATAAAAAAAAAATTACTATTCAGTTGTAACTATATAATAAAATTGAAAATTTATTTTTTATAAAAAATTATATATAATATTATTTAAATCAAATTCAGATTAAAATTTCACATTCAAATACCAAAAAAAAAAAAAAAAAACTCAACAGTTTTGAAGAAAAAATAAAAAAAATAAAATGTTTGTTGATGTGATTTTACTGTTATGAGTTAAATATTATCATTCAGCTAAACCTTATTTTGAGACAATATTTTGAAAGAATGTTGGGTGTATTTTACTGGTAAAATTTTATTTTCAGGTATACAATTTCAATTTTTTTTTTTTTTTTAAAAAATGTCGAGAGGTGTTTGGGAAAGAGCTTTTTAAAGAAATTTTAACTGTTTGACCAATTGAACAGCTAAATAGGTGTTTGGTATATTAATTTTTGGAATAGTTTCTTGGACCCAAAAAGCTAATTTATGCAAAGCTAACTTATCCAACGTTTTGAAATAGTTTTTCAGTTTAAATTTTTTTATTCTTTATTTGCCCTTAAAAATTTATTATGGATTTTACACAAATAATATATTTTGATTATTTATTAATTATATTATATTATAGTTTTACTTTTATAAATTTAAAATAATTAATTTTTATATATAAATTATTTTAATTATAAAATATATAAATTTATTAAAATCAACTTAAAATAGAAAATATAAATATTAATAATTTATTTTATATTAAAATTACATTATATAAATTTTATACTAAAAATAAATTGAATAAATTAAATTTATTGAAAATTAAAAATATAGTGAACTAATCAATAATTAACATAATAAATATATATACAAAAAAATTATTATTTTGTATTTTGCATCATTTTCAATAGAAAAAATTATTTATATTTTTAATAAAAAATATTATTTTTTAAATTTAACTATAATAAAAATAAATACTAAACACTTTTATAATTTTTAATAACTAATAACAAAAATTTTCTAACATTTCAAATTCAAAATAACACAATTAAATATATTAGAAAAAAAAAAATCCTCACGTATAAATAGCTAATATAAAACAATTATTTTACCAAATATTTAGCTAATCAAATCAACTAGTCAAACCAGCTAACAGCTAGCTAATTGTCAAACACGCTCCAAATCAATTACATATTTTTTTATTTATTATATTACATTAAAATTAATTTTTACATTCAAAATATCAATAAATACATATTTACATCACATCAATTATTTCAATTTAAAATTTTACTATTTAAAACAAAAACGCAAAATCAAAATTTCAAAACCAAAATTTCCATTTATGATTGGATATCAAAAAGTCGTAGTCAATGCAAATTAGCTGGCAAATTAATAAATATTAAAAATGATTTTGTAGCTTTATTTATTTATTTATTTATTTTATAAATAAAGTCGCGTGGCCCACACGCAATAATTTTGTACCTCTTGCTATTAAAATAGATATAAAGATCTGAAGCGTGATTGAAAACGATGTGATATTACATTGGTCATTATTATCTTTTTTTTAAAAAAAAAAAAAAAATATTAAATTTATTGGTTGTGGTTGGGGTTGGGGTCGTGCACTGATGATGGGGAAAATTTAATTAAATAAAAACTTAATTGCATATAATTATACTCGGTTTAAATAGACACATATATTTTTTTAGAATTTTTTAAAATGAAATAGTAATAAAAATAAATAAATAATATGATGTCTATGTAAAAACATGCATTTGATATACTCCCTCCGTCCCAGTGCAAGGTTGTCGTATACTTTTGCGCTTAGATTTTTTGCGCTTAGATTTTTAAATATTAGTATTATAATGGTTTGTAGTGAAAAAGACAAAAATACCCCTATTAGTATTGTGTAATATAAAAGTAACGATATCTGTGTAATATAATGTAAATTGGAAAGATATTTATTATGTTAGGTAAGTAGTACAATTACTAAATTAAAAAAATAGTAACCTTGTTTTAGGACGGACGAAAATGAAAAATAGTAACCTTTCAATATGAGACAGAGGGAGTATATATATATATATATATACATTATTATTAATAGAGAAGGTCAAAATTTTCAAATATATATTAAAAAATTGCCTTAGTTAATGTAAATTCGAGATCCCAATAGAAAGTAATTGTTTGGTTCTAAGTTGGAGTACAAGTTGTAAAATATTTATTTATATTTTTCCATGTCGATTAAATTTTACTTTTTAATATTATCTCCATTGTCAAATTATGCTAGAATATATTCCTTCGATCATGTTCATTTGATTTTTGTAAACAGATTTAAATATATTAGTATTTTATAAATAGTTATGTGTAATTTTTTTTATATTAATAATATTGAAAAAATAATGACAAAAGTAAAAATATTAACTTTTACTAAAAAAACCCGGGATATCTTTTACTAAAATTTTTTTTTTCTAAAAAAGAAAATGAAAAGATAATTGTACAACAGAGAAAATACCTATTGATTTTTAAAATTTTTTTAATTGAGATTGAACCGTAATCTCGTATTTTCATTTTTTTTGAATAAATATATATGTATATTTAATATTTATATAAAAATGTGTGAATATATATATATATATTTTATAACGTGAAAATCCGCAGCACTATTTTTCGAGTGCGTTCTAGGATAAACGTCTAGATTCTGTATTAACGGCGACCAAATATAATTTTTGTGAATATTGTAATTTTATTCATATTATACAAAATATTTCTTTTGTCTACATTGTAAGTCTATATTTATTTTTTACGCAAAATTTAATAAATATGAGAAGATAACACAAATATATATATATATATGGAGGCAGAAAGCAAAGATTCGATAAGATAACAAAAGACCTTAAAGTGAAGAGAATATTCACTACACTAGTAGAGGAGATGAAGGCCATTGGAGGGGGGCCTCTCGGCTCGTTAAACCACTCCGACGTCATGGCGCCGGTCGACCTCAGCGAAAGAAGCCCCGTTCTCCTCCTTATGGGCGGAGGAATGGGCGCGGGAAAAAGCACCGTCCTCAAAGATATCATGAAAGAGTAAGCTAAGCTTATTAAATAAATGCAAAATTGTCTATAACTCTTCTATGATTTTGAAATTTAGTGTTAATTTTAATGTACTTTAAAAATTGAATGACGCTCTCTTATATTTTAAAAAACGTTGCATGAAATCCTTTTTTACATTTTTTGTACGATGAGAAAATGATTTCCTATCTATATTTTTTGTATGGTGAAGAGGTTTTATGCAACATTTTTTTAACGTATAAAAGGACGTCATGCAATTTTTAAAATATAAGAAAGATTTACAAGGGTGTGTTTGTTTGGGGTTTGGATTTTGAGTTGGAATTTGAATAGTAAAAATTTTGAATTTGAATAGTTGTATGATGTGATATAAATATGTGTTGATATGATGTTTTGAATGTAAAATTGATTTTTAGCATAATATAAAAAATAAAAAATAGGTGTTTGATTTGATTTTTTTAAGGAAAAAAATGAGATAAATAATAAATTTAAAATCCAATCCCCCAAACAAACACACCCTTAGTTTCAAAATTATAGGGCCGTTAATGGGTAATTTTGCCTTAAATTAATTAATGACAAAAATTCATATGTGGTTTGAAAACTTTATATTATTCTCCCACATGATTTTGAAATTGCATCAAACTTTTCGTATTTTAAAAATTATTGCACAAATATTTTTTTATGGATTAAGTAGAATATTTTCGAAAACACGAAGGAGTCCCCTGTAATTTTTAGGGAATTATGTATAATATTTTTTTAAAATATAAGAGAGCTCTACGCAGTTTTTAGATCACATGAGAGAATAGCGTAAACTTTTTAAAGCACAAATCTGTTATAAATAATTTTGCCTTAATTAAGAGACTATACATATACTTTCTGTTTGATCGATCGTAATTTGGAATTATATGTATTTCGCAGATCATTTTGGTCAGAAGCCAGGGCAAACGCTGTGGTTGTGGAGGCCGACGCCTTCAAGGAGACCGATGTCATCTACCGCGCATTGAGTTCCCGTGGCCATCACCAAGACATGCTTCAAACTGCTGAACTCGTAAGTATCGATTTTTGTTAGAGATGTTAAAATTGAATCCAATTTACCCAAAAAAATTTCAAATTTAAATTTGAGCTTTTTCAGAACAATTCTAATTTGGAGGAAAAAAAAAATCAAATTAAATCAAGTATAATTTAAGTTGACCTAAAAAAATATGAAAAAAATAAGATCAAATCATCTTATGGAAATCTAATATTCAAATTCACGCTAATTTAGATGTTTAAAATAATTTAATGTTTTTTAATTAATTGCAAAAGTAAATTATATTAAGAATAAATAAAATACTTAAATATTATATAGTGTCATAGTCTTATTTAAAAAAATATATAATTAAAAAGAAATACAAAAACTAAAATTGGTTGCCTATATTATTATTATTCGTAGCATTATTGTAATTTTTTATCTGCGTAATTTAAAATTTATATTCGAAAATTTAATAATATTTAAAATTTCTAGATTTTCAAGTTGTGTTGGGGTCTATTCTGTGTTCGTTAGTCGGGTAAGTTATTTAGTTATCGGATGACTTGAAATAAAATCAAGTTAACTCATTTTAAATTTTATATTTCTGATTAAAAATCAAATTCTAATCATATTCAATTTGCTGAGTTTCCTTATATGCATAATTTAACGTTTAGGATTCGAAAATACGAATCAACACATCCATATTTGTCTATATATTAAATCCTCATTGAAGCGTTTTATTGACAGAGCGGCCTTGTGGATTCCCATGTTATAATATATATATATATATATACACCCACTATAGGTTCACCAATCGTCGACTGATGCGGCGTCGTCGCTCCTAGTAACTGCGCTCAACGAGGGGCGAGACGTGATCATGGACGGGACGCTCTCGTGGGTGCCTTTTGTCGAGCAAACAATCGACATGGCCCGAAATGTGCACATTCATCGCTACCGTATGGGAGAAGGCTACAAAGTTTCGGAGGATGGCACCGTCACTGAGAACTATTGGACTCAAATAGAAGACGACGCCGAAGAGCCAAAGCCCCGAAAGCCTTACAGAATCGAGTTGGTTGGCGTCATTTGCGACCCTTTTCTCGCCGTTATCCGAGGCATTAGGTATTCGTCGATTCATTTACAAACACAATATAGATGTACACATCTTAATAAGATGTTCGATTCGAATCGTTAACTATTCTTGTAGGCGAGCGATACAGATGGGAAGAGCCGTGAGGGTGCAGTCACAGCTAAAGTCGCACAAGTGGTTTGCGACTGCATTTTCAGGGTACGCACAGCTCGTCGACAATGCTAGACTCTATTGCACAAACGCTCCCGGAGGGCCGCCGATCGTAAGACTTTCTTTTTTTTTTTAATAAAAAAAAACTATACAAACAATAAGAAACGGGTAAATTTGCGAGGGAAGGTTGTACATTCTCTCGCAATTTTACGACGGAATCATTTCTCATAATATTCCCTCGCATTTTTTTTTTGCGAGGAAATTTTTATGTCGTATAAATGGTATGATGTGAACTTTGTGAGGAAAATTTGTATATTCCCCTGCAATTTTACGATAGAATTGTTTTTTATTATATTCCCTCGCTTTTTTTTTTTTTTTTTTTTTTTTTTTTCGCGAGGAAATTTTTATGTCACATAAATGGTATGATGTGATCTTTGTGAGGAAAATTTGTATATTCCCTTGCAATTTTACGATAAAATTGTTTCTCATAAATTCCCTCATTTTTTTTTTGCGAGGAAATTTTCATGTCGCATAAATGGTATGATGTGAACTTTGTGAGGAAAATTTGTATATTCCCTCGCAAATTTATGACAAAATTGTTTCTCATAATATTCCCTCGCATTTTTTTTGTGAGGAAATTTTTATGTCACATAAATGTTGCATTTTGAACTTTTTGAGGGAAATTTGTATATTCCTTCAATTTTACGACATAATTCTTTCTCATAATAGTCCATTGCATTTTTATTTATTTTTACGAAGAACTTTTTATGTTGTATAAAATGTTACGACTTGAACATTTTGAGAAAAAATTGTATATTCCTTCAATTTTACAGCATAATTCTTTCTCATAATAGTCCATTGCATTTTATTTATTTATTTTTAATACGAGGAACTTTTTATGTTGTATAAAATGTTATGACTTGAACATTTTGACGAAAAGTTGTATATTCCTTCAATCGGCATAATTCTTTCTCATAATAGTCCCTTACATTTTTATTTATTTATCTATTTTTACGAGAAAATTTACGTTGTATAAAATGTTACGACTTGAAAATTTGAAGGGAACTTGTATATTCCTTCAATTTTACTGTATAATTCTTTTTCATAATAGTCCCTTGCATTTTTATTTTTAATTTTATGAGAAAATTATTATGTTGTATAAAATGTTACGTCTTGAACATTTTGAGGGAAATTTGTATATTCCTTCAATTCTTCGACATAATTCTTTCTCATAATAGTCCCTTGCATTTTTTATTATTTTTTTTTTACGAGAAAATTTTTATGTTGTAGAAAATGTTACGACTTGAACATCTTGAGGGAAATTTGTATATTTCCTCGCAATTTTATGACATAATTGTTTCTCATAATACTCCCTTGATTTTTTTATTTTTTCAAAGGAAAATTTGTATATACCCTCGCAATTTTACGACGGAATTGTTCCTCACAATATTCCCCTGCATTTATTTGTTTTGAACTTTGCAAGGGAATTAATTCCCTCGCAGCTCTACGTTGTGAAGTGACAATAGAGGCTTGCAACGGTTTTACCCTCGCAAATCTCAATTTCTTTTATATATATATATATATATATATATATTTGAAGTGAACATCACGATTCCTAATTGAAACATACTCAAGCGACAATTGGAAATAATCTCGTGTAGTTTGTAGTTAAAAAAGTTTGGTGTGATTGTTTTTGTTTGTCCAGTTGATAGCATGGAAAGATGGAGACTGCAAGTTGCTGGTGGATCCGGAGGGAATCGAGTGCTTGACGGAGGTTCAGGAAGTGAACGCCGGTGCGGATTCGATATACGAGCTGTATAAAGATCGGGATCGAGTAGGGCGAGCAGGGTGGGTGTGGAAAGATCAAGTTTTGGGTGAAAGAAAAGGCTGTCAATTTGAGCTCAAAAATGTTGTCAAGAACATTGAAGCACCTGCTCTTTCAGGTACTCTCTAATGCTAATACTAATGCATTTTATTTTTTTTCTTGCTTATAGTATTTGCTACAGAATATATATATATATGCAAGAAAAATTGTGACTGGCCTTGCCAAAGTTTTATAATTCTATGGTGTAATTGTTGCCATATATAGGCAGAGGGAAGGACTTGGAGGTAAGATTTTCAAGATATATTAAGACTGTGCTATGATATGATGATAGAGGGTGTCATATGCTTGCAATATGCCTTTTTCATTTTGGATGTTTTCTCTTAACATGTCAACCATGTAAAATTTAGTAGGCGTCATAAAAAAATATTTAGTACACCTCCAGAAAGGATGGTCTGGTAGGGTGGTGATGGACTCGTGATCGTGAGAGGTAAACACCATACATTCAACTTTCCCTTAGGACGTGTTTGTTTGGGGTTTTGGATTTTGAGTTGAGATTTGAATAATAAAAAATTTGAATTTGAATAGTTGTATAATGCGATATAAATAGGTGTTAGATGTGATGTTTTGAATGTAAAATTGATTTTTAGTATAATATAAAAAATAAAAAATAAGTATTTTATTTGATATTTTTTGGGAGGAAAAATGAGATAGAATAGAGGATTTAAAATCCAATCCTCCAAACAAACACACCCAATTAACAATTTTCTTTGTTGAGATATTTTGGTCATGGGTTCAAACTCTGACGCCTCCGGGTCCAACCTGCCACACATGTTTTGCGTAGTGTGACTTTCTTTATCGGGTTTAGTTTGTAGGATATTAGATTCGGTCAGGGTTTACCGAGTGCGCATTTTCGGATAGCTGCGGATTCCTGCGTTATATATATAAAAAAGAAAGAGACCTTGTACGGCTGTAGTTGGCGTCCTCAGCATGGAGTCACAGTCCTTTGTTATCTTAGAATTTAAATTTAAACTTGTTTTTCAAAACAGTTTGATCAAAACAATATTTTATTTTTATTATTTTTTAATATAATATTTATTTTTCTTAATATAGACCTAAATATACTAATCTTAATGAACGGAATAATAATTTAAAGGTAAATTATATAATACTATTTTGTATTTTAGTAAAATGCGCAAAACACTTTGTTTTTTATTTATCGTTTGAAATCTTATGTTAATGCAACTTTTATATTAATATAAGGACGTTTTACACAGTAAATAAAATTATGATGTTTCATGTAATTTTTACTAATACAATGAGTGTTATATAATTTATCCTTACTTTGAAATAGAACTATGGCTCTTGGAGTTAAAAAGTCTATTCACAAATGGATAGATTTTTCCATTAAAGATGTGTCAACAGATTTACTAGAATTTGAAAAATATAATTAGTTTTCAAATAAAATATTAAAAATATAATATATATATATATAATTAATTTAAAAAATATTACATAATTCCCTTTTTCAAATTGGAGATAAAATATGTGATTGATGTTGAATTTAATTTTAACCATTAATTTTAATTTTTTAAAAAAAATTAAACAGATAATTTAATCAATTAAGATAATAATTTTAATTTTAAATAAAAACCAACCACACCAAAAAAAAAAAAAAAGTATTGATCGAAAAATGTTTGGTACAGAGAAATGAAGTCAGAGTTTGAGTCAGATAAATGGAACTAGAAATAAATTATTTTAATTTTCCTGTTTTTATTTCTCTCTCATATGCAGAGAAATTGCAGTATATGTTTTTTTTAATGTTTTTTTAATTTTTTTGTACTATTTAATTTTTATAATTTTTTAAAAATTATATTATTTCAATTTTTTAAAAAATAAAATTAATTTATTTTTAAAGTATTTAATTTTTACGATATTTTAAGAAATTGTACTAAAATATTATCTTAAAAAATGTCGTATATAATTTATACTTTTTTTTAAAAAAAATTTACTAAAAATATTTTTCATGAAATCTCATTTGTTAAAACTCTCTTTTTATCGGGTTAATCATTTATTTTTGTTTAATCAGCATTTTTTTTAAAAAAAAATTTATCAAATGAATTCTTTGTTTTTATCAAGACAATTAATTCTTATTTTCTATTTAATTCTATTTCTCTTAAATTTTATTCTCTACTCTTATTTCTTTTGTAATTCCATTCTCTATACTAAAGGCGACCTAAATTCAAAAATTGCAAACTAGAGTTTGTTGGGCTTTAGACATCGTTTACAGTACGTATTTTGGGCTAAACACATTAGCCCAATTTCGGCCCAAAATACCAAATATCAACACTCCACCATTCATTATCGCCCTTCTGCATTTACGTCCGAAACCCTAGCCGCGCACCAGCTGCGATTCGTATTATCCTCCTCCGGCGAAGAAAGTACTTCAGGCTATCATGGTAGTACAACGATTTCTTACTCTGATAACGTTTAGTGTGTTGGGTTTTTATTTATCTATTGGTTGTGTAGCTTCCTGACACTATCCATGTATTTTCAGGCGGATGTCGACACAGAGGTCGCGGCGGCGCAGCCGAAGAAGAGAACGTTCAAGAAATTCTCCTTCAGAGGCGTCGATCTCGATGCGCTCCTTGATATGTCCACGGATGAGCTCGTCAAGCTCTTCAATGCCCGTGCTAGAAGAAGGTAACTGATTTTTTTTTTAACTTTGTTTTTTGTTTTTTGTTCCTTTTCCTTTTTGTTGTTAATTCAGTGATCGTATGAAAAAAAAAAAAAAAAAAACGAAAATGCAGTGTGAAGATTATGTGCTTTGAATTCACAGTTAGGGTAAGGAGGATTGAATTGATTTGCTTGTAATTTGTCCTGTATTTGATTGGTGTATTGAACAATGCGCTTTGCTGTTGGATTGTTTATTAGCTCTGTAAATGTGCATTATGTTTGTAAATTTTATTGGATATTATAATCCTAGCAATTCTGATATGATACTTTTGTTCCTGGCAGTGATTTATTTCAACTCTATATTCCATTACAATTTTCTATATTTGTTGATTACAAACTGTGTCAACTTAGAGTTGAAGTGGATTTATGTTTGTCTACTTCAATTATGTCTCTAAAATGTTCTCGATTGTGCATTATGTTATTACACTGACCGACCAAAGTTACATGGGACGAATGGGTATCAATTAGGTTATGTTTTAAGGGTGATTGGCCGTGGGCTTTGCTCACATTTGATTGAAATAATTTTTGTGTGGCTGTGGCGTTTCTTCTTGGTACTATTGTTGCTTTTCATTTTGCTCTTGTTGATTTTACCCGTGTAATCTCTCATTTCGAATCATGGAAAATGATAGGTTCCAGAGAGGTTTGAAGAGGAAGCCGATGGCTCTGATCAAGAAGCTGCGTAAGGCGGTGAGAAATTATTCGGAACCTCTATTTCCATTAGAGTTGGCAATTGGTCGATTTGTGTTGGGTTGAATACATTAAATGGGTTAAATCACTCGATCTTAATTTGACCCGTTTGTTGTCGTGTCGGATTCGTGTTGATCCGTATACATAATCCGGTTGATATCCTCTATCCAAATCCAATTATTTTTTTATCAGATTGTTGTGTTATGTTAGTTATATTTTGATTTAGTGTTATGTGTATAGTGAATTATGTTGAATTATTTTAGATTGAACTTACTTAAGGGAATTATCAAATTAGAATTATTTTATATATATAATAAATATATTAATTAATATTAATATATTGTAATCGGGTTGTCGTATTGTATTTGAGTTGAGGGCCTCAATCTTAACCCAACCCGTTTATATCGTGTCGGGTTTGTGTCAACCCGTATACATAATCGGGTCAAAATCCTTGACCCAAACTCAATTATTTCGTGTCGGGTTATTGTGTTGCGTCAGTTTTTGCCAGCTCTAATTTCCATCACCATATTCTGTTGTTATTTTATTTAAATTTTTTTGCATGTCTTACAGCAATCTATGTCATGCTTGAATTATGAAACAGGTCTAGATTTCATAGCAAACATATTTTACAACATAAGTTTTTACTTACACGAATGCTTTTTATTTCTTATTGCTAAGCCGATATTTGATAATTTAGTGACTTTTTAAGGGCGTTTTGGATCAAGCGCGATTATATATTTTAAACACTATATAACCTTTCATTATCGTAAACTTATTTCAAGCTTAGTTCCATCTTGTGTTCCACTGTAACTAAAAACACAACGATTTTTGCAGAAACGCGAGGCTCCACCTGGTGAGAAGCCTGCACTGGTCAGGACTCATCTGCGCAACATGATCATCGTCCCTGAGATGATCGGAAGCGTCCTCGGCGTGTACAATGGCAAAACTTTCAACCCGGTTGAAATCAAGCCTGAAATGATCGGTCACTACCTCGCGGAGTTCTCAATCTCTTACAAACCTGTCAAGCATGGAAGGCCGGGTATCGGTGCCACCCACTCCTCGAGGTTTATTCCTCTGAAATGAGAAAAGTGCCGTCGAACACCGGGTAAGACATGGGTTCATTTTCGCGAGTTTTGTTCTGTCTGGTTTATTGTTTCCTTCTGTTCTTAGCTACTACCGAATTGTTTGGTGCAAACTTTTCTGAATATTTTCGAAACCTTAATACTCTGAGTTTCTTTTGAACTTTTGTTATGTCATTTGTTGTGTTAGTTTGGATAGCCAACATTGTTCTACTTATTATTATATGTTAAACTGCACTTTATTTATATGATTAAGGGGTATTTGGCAATTATTAGTTTTTTTAATCGATCAAATTGCTAAAAGTAGGGGTGTCAATTCGTGTTTTTTGGTCGTGCGTCGGGTTGAGCCATGGGGATAACAAAAAACTGTCAACCTGAACCCGACCCGAATCCGAAATCTCATCTGAAACCCTAGACCTGAACACGACACGAATTCTTTCAGGTCGGGTTCAGGTTGACCTGAATCAGTTTCAGCTTACCCGAAACCTGAACAAACCCGATACTTTTTATCCATTACTAATATAATATCAATATTCCTTGAATCTCATGTCAAACACAACCCATACTATAGTTTTGAAACGGATGGAATATAATTGATCCAATATATTAAGAATGTTAAGAAAAAATAGAACAAATTCAAGTTTTACATAGAAAAAATAAAGAAAAAATAATTTATTATAAGTTAGCATTTTATTCTACATAATATGAAGCTTTTTGGGAAAGTTCGGGTGTTTTATTTTAATAAAAAATATACATATTTTTTCAAAAATATTAATATATCACATGCGTTTATTATTTTATATTCTTACACAACTCCCATGTCTCACATTAAAAACCAAAAACCAAATCAAAGGAGAGTAAGTGTGGATCCACACGTGGATAGAAAAGAGACACCACTTTTTTATTTTATTATTATTTTTATGATGTAATAAATGAGATTTTTTTAATGCGCTATGGTTAAACCTTTGACGTCCATTTTTTAGGATAATAAATAGAGTGTGCAAGAGGTGAACATACAACCATAACTACTCCTTGAGTTTCAAGGGCCATTTTATTTATTTTCTTTGGTGCAACGGTGTAAAGAAGAAAAAAATAAAAGAAAAACAAATGGCCAAACAAATACTCCTTCCGTTCCAGATATTCTGTCTGTGTTACTGTAAACACTAGAATTTAGGAGGAATATAATTAGTAAATAATTAAACATGTATTAGTGAAAATAATTATCGTATAATAAAAATAATTATAGATTAAAATTAAGACAATTAATTAATATAATTAAAATTAAAAAAATATATATAAATTAAAAATTTAAAAATAAGATTAAAATGCATAATTATTTTTCAAAAAAAAATGACAAAATAAGTGAGACGGACGGAAATGGAAAGGTGAACATGAGAAATGAGACGAATGGAGTATAATATATGATTGGAGTTGAAGAAATTTAATCTATCAAAGAATTCGATGGACAGTTGATTATCCCATAATAGTTCAGTGGTAGAGCGTGCCCCTCATAATTACGCCATTGTGCAACGACTGTGAACTATATAAATTTATTACTTTTTCTGTTCCGAATATTTTGTCCGTTTTACCGTAAACACGATAATTTATGAGAGGTATAACTAATAAATAATTAAAAATGTATTAGTGAAAATAATTATCGTATAATAAAAATAATTATAAATTAAGATAACTGATTAGTATTATTACTAAAATTAAAAAAATTATAAATTAAATTTTTTAAAATAAGATTAAAGTGTATAATTATTTTCCAAAAAAAGAAAGTGACAAAATAAGTGAGACGGACATAAATGAAAATATGGACATAAGAAGTGAGACGGAGAGAGTATTTTTTACTACAAATAATTAAATAAGTCCATAAAATTACATAAATATTATTATTTTTTACACAAAAATAAAATTAAAATTAAAATTTTGTGGGACAAATTATGAAAAATACAACTATAAAAAATACATTTTGGGACTAGGTCAGGTGCCCGTAAACATAATTTAGTTCTGTCCTTGCATATAATAATTTCTTTATAAAACTTTGAATGCATATTTTTTTCCCTTTTTATTCTTTTATTTTTTCCTGCTTTAAATGCAATATTTCCAACATTTTTTTTCCATTTGAATATAGTAATTTCCTCACAAATTATGCATTAACTTCAATTTCATTTTAATTCTTCCAACACATCGAGTTTCAATGCATTTTTTTGTCTTAATTCCGACAATTTCGTTTATCTCCAAATCATCAATGCGAGATCGAGCTCGAATGCTTTGATTATACTCTTATATGATAGGAAACAACCTCAAGAATCAACCTCAAGAATCGGAAAAAAAGAGACGAAGCTATAGTGTACATTAGGAATTATTAGGGATAGATAAATCTACCGAAAATACCGAAATACCAATTTACCGTATCGTATCATACCAAAAATATCAAAAAATTTCAGTATAACAAAATTTTCGATATGGTATCGGTACCATATCGTCAATTTCGGTACAATATCAGTATAAATTTTTTAAAATTTCGGTATTATACTGTACCGATAATATTTTAATTAAATAATTTAATTATTAATATAAATAATTATTTAAAACAAAATTAAAGAAAAAAACCCTTACCCACTCTACAAATACAAACCGCTGAAAAAAAAAAAACCTAATTCTTCTCTCTTCTATTTATCGTTTCTTCTTTTCCACTCTTCAATTTCTTCTTCTCTATCATTCATTCTTTGTTTTTTCAATTTCTTCGACTCTTTCAGTTCTTCTTCTCTATCATTCATTCTTTTTTCTTCAATTTCTTCGTCTCCTTCGGTTCTTCTTCTCCTTCGGTTCTTCTTCTTCTCCATCATTCCTTCTTCATTCCTTGACTTCTTCGCTTACTTCTATTCTTCTTCTTCTCCTCTTCTTTCCCCTTTTTTACTATTTCTATGTTGCGCTACTTGTTAGAAGTCTAAAACATATGTGGTCGCCACCGCCGTTATTTTGTCGCTATTTTGCTGAGTAGGGGGTGGTCTTTTTTGAATTTGTTTAAAACAAGTTGTGTTATAACCAGTATATATCGTTTTTATACTAAAAATTTTAAAATATTAAATTTTTGGTATAAACGATATATACCCGTACCGTATCGAAACATTCGAAATTTCTATCACACTGAAATTTTTCGGTGCGGTATGCAGTATGCGGTATGGTTCAAAATTTTCGGTTCGGTACAATATATGTCATCCCAACGAATTACCATATTCGCTCTATCCTTAGAATCCTAAAGAGATGAATTGTAATTTCTTCAAAAATGACATATTTCCTATTTATGGATTCCGAATTGGTCCATACCACAAACCTATTATGCTGTTCGGAAACTAGAGGCATTTACTCGTTGTTAGAAACCTCTGAGATTCTAAAAGATGCAATTAGGGATGGCAATGGGTACCCGATCCGAATACACATGGTTGGACCCGAGATCCGAAATGGACCCGATTATACCCGGATCCGACCCGAATAATATACCCGACAAGACCCGATGGATCCGAAATTATTTTTTTAATTTTTAAAATTTAACTTAAAATTGGACCCGAACCCGGATCCGGACCCGACATATATCAAAATTTATATATTTTAATCAAAAATTTTATAATAAAATAATAAAATAAATAAATAAAACTAAAAAATATATTTTTAATATAATTTATATTATTAAAAATTAATTTTTTCATATATATAATTAATATATTAGTAATATATTAGTCGGGTCCGGGTCCGGGTAGGGTCCACCATTGGACCCGAGACCCGACCCGGACCCGATAAGGGTACATAATACCCGATTCGGACCCGGACCCGATGCCTGTATCATTGGACCCGATCCCAAATAAATGAGTCGGGTCCAGGTCGGGTCTCGGGTCTACCCGGACCCATTGCCATCCCTAGATGCAATCACCTATCAGATCGGACGTTTACATTGGCAATGGTTGATGTGGCGATTCTACACCTCAATCGTAGACTTCTACAATATCATTTGCAATGAAGAAGAATCTTTAGGAGATATCTCTCTCGAAATGAATTGACCGTAACAATTTATTAGACACCCTCTACATAAATAGAACATCATAATGCCAATATAAGATTAAAGATACAAAAGAACATAAATTTCCCATCTACCCTACGGTCTTAATAGTTTTACATGTTACACAAAATAGATGGATAAAAATTGTTTTAAGGCAAGTCATTTACGATTGAGTGTCTTCATTTTCTATTTTTGAATAAATGTATTTTTTTACGTTAGATATGTGAAATGGTATTACTGATACAAAATAAGTTGGTTGAATAAACCCATTAAAAGTTTACAAAAACCTTGGGTCATATTAAAGTAAAAAATTTTAACAATCATTACACCAAGTCATGGGAGATTAATTGCTCCGTATTCAGCAGAAACAATATTTCAAGAAGACAATATATATATATATATACAAGGGTAAACTGATTTTTAAGTCTGTTGATGTAATTTTTCAACAAAAATAAAGTAAAATTCAAAGATATAGAAAATATTCTTAAACTTGATTAATTAGTGTCTGAGATTAGGAATCTCTAAACACTGTATGGTACAGAAAATAAACTGGAAAATAAAAGACTGAAATTTAAAGTGGTGATCCCCAAATCTGACTTTGCTTCGTTGAAGTTGATTGAAGATGCCTTGCCAAATAATGATCCAAATCCTTAAATATTCTCTGGGAAACCGTACTGAAAACCGTCACCCGAACGGTTACAACGTCTCCTTCCCAACCGTCTTCCAACCCTTCTCCTGCTGACACGTGTCCTCAGCAGACCGAAATTATCCCTATATTTCACTCTTTGAGCCGACCACAGACCTTCCGCCCTTTAGGCCCGACTGCCAATCTACAACCGTATTGGTCCGACTGCCAATCCTCCCGACTTGCAAACCATCTGACTTGTTGGTCCTGCCGCAGAGTTCCGACCTGAGAACTTCCCGACCTGAGGGCATCCCGACCTGCGGACTTCCCGTCCTGAAGGCCTCCCGACCTGCGGACTTCCCGTCCTGAGGGCCTCCCGACCTGCGGACTTCCCGTCCTGATGACTTTCCGTCTTGAGGACCTCCCGACCTGAAGACCTTCCGACCTGAGGTATTTCCGTCTTGAGGACCTACCGTCCTGAGGTCCTTCCGTCCTGATGACTTTCCGTCTTGAGGACCTCCCGACCTGAAGACCTTCCGACTTGAGGTCTTTCCGTCTTGAGGACCTACCGACCTGAAGACCTTCCGACCTGAGGTCTTTCCGTCTTGAGGACCTACCGACCTGAGGTCCTTCCGACCTGAGGACTTTCCGTCTTGAGAACCTACCGACCTGAAGACCATCCGATCTGAGGTCTTTCCGTCTTGAGGACCTACCGACCTGAGGTCCTTCCGTCCTGAGGACTTTCCTTCGAAATAAATCTATTTTCCTTGAGCCAGTTCAACCAACTCTAATGTCAGGCCCATTTTTCTTTTACCTTGGGCTTTTTAACCTAATTCTAAATTTCATACATAACAAAGTCTCTTATCATTTTAGTTTTGTAAGTGGAGCATGTCACAAACTAGTTTCATATGTGAAAAATTTTCACTGTTTTTGTCCTCCGGCGTCGGAGACGCCCGCATGGCTCGCCGGAGGCCACGTGTCCGACACCTGGCGGACACGTGGATTTTATTTTTAAATTTAATTTTAATTTTATTTATTTGGTCCAATTTAAAAAAAAATTAAAAAATAAAATAAAACTCACGTGTCTGCCAGGTATTGTGACCTCGCGGGACACCTGGCGGACACGTGGCTTCCGGCGAGTTACGTGGGCGTCTCCGGCGCTGGAGGACTAAAACAACGAAAAATTTTCACTTATAGGACTAGTTTGCAACAGGCTCCACTTACGGAACTAAAATGATAAGGGGATCCAATTACGGGACTAAAAAACAGTTTACCCTATATATATATATATATATATATAAAAGAACATATATCTTCAAGAACACATTCATAGCTTGTGCTTCTTCTTCATCAATAGTGTTGTCTTTTTTACGAAAGGAAAACGCCAAACTAAATGTTAGTATAGTATTTCACCTAACAAAACATTAAAAATATATTATATTTCGCATAATTTCGGAGCTACTTATTATTAATAATAAAATAGAAGGTCTATTTATAAATAAAAATCTAACATAACTCATAAATTAATAAGTGTTTCTTTTGCATCAAACTTCCAAATTTTACTATTTAGACTATGCATTTTTTCGAAAAAATATGTATTTTTTTCTCTCGCAAAATCTCATCAAAATTTTACTGTTTGGACTTCGTGTTTTTGAAAAAAAAATATCTCATCAAATATTATTTTAATATCAGACTTAAATATAAAATTTAAACACAATATCTCGACAAAATAGAAACAAAAAGAAAACAAAATTTACCTTAATTACCACTGAAGAAGAGATTCTCCGAATATTTCATCAAAGAGAATTTATTTTGTAAGCCTATTGATCTTAAAATCACTATACTCTTTCTTTGAATCAAACCATAAACTACAAAAGATGTGGTACCAAAATCAAGACTGAATATAAGCTCTCTATCATTGCACACCATCGACATCAATGTAAACTCACTGCCTTCAAGATCCATCCATAGCACCTCATCAGACTCCATCCATAGCATCCCACTCTCATATGTCTCGTGCATCAGACATGGAACCAACAAATCATCAAACTTGATCCATTCGCCGCTAGTTTTCTTCCGCACAACATGACACTCATAGCTATTAACATTGCCAAGGTGCATGCAAAATTGGGCTTGTGAAAAATCTGCAAGATAATATGAAGTTCGGGTTCTCCATGCTTGCCCCGGATTATAGAACTTGTCGTCCTTTAGGTCGAAGAGAATTAGGTTATAACTATCGGTTTATTTTTGGTATTCAAGTCTTTCTTTGCTCAAACAGATATGATCGTCCAAATGGAAGCTTTTAATGTCATCTCCATCTTTTATCTCCGTTGTTTTCGACTCGTTCCAATGTCCACTTTTGTCGTTAAACAATGCGCATTCTTCCCATTGCAAATTGATAACTACTATTTATATCCTTTGATAATGAATCGAAACCAATGTTGAATGCGAAACCACACAAACCGTGAAAAAGAGATCTCAAATTTGTATACATTCTGGCAGATGGATTCCAGAGGATGATCCACAATGTTGCATCGTTGGAAATGAAAGATACGAGTATTAGGCCATTGTAGGATTCCCAAGTTTCATGGAGGATTCATAAATGGCTTCAATTCATTATTTTCTAATTTAGAGAGGAAGAATGTATCCTGGTAATGGGTAAAAAAAAGAAGTGATGAATTGATCTTGGATTGATGGAGATGCCCAAGGTCGAAGTCCCTGTTGGAGATGATTTGGTTCCATGACTTGGCGATTTGAATCAGAAAAGCGATATAATGGGAAGTTGTGTGAGGATAAGCTCTACAACATCTGTCTACGATATTTATCTTCGCAATCATAATTATCTTCGATTTAGTAGTAGTTGGGCAATGGGTGGTATTATGATTACCCAAATCCTATATATACTAGAAAAAACACTAAATCGAATGAATCCATTTATATATATTGTACGAAAAATTGGATAACCATTTATGCAATCCAAACAAATTTTAAACAGATTATAAGTTGGTTCCATATAATTCATTCTCATCGAATTTAAATCTAATACTCCCTCTGTCTTAATATAATAATTTTGTTTACCATTTTTGTTTATTTCAAAACAATAGTCTCATTTATTTCAAAACAATAGTCTCATTTTTATAAATATTCGTATCACCGTAAAATTATCATTAATTTTTCATTATTATTACACAAAATATCACTACTTTTTATACTAATACACTCATAAAGACAAAAAAGAATATTTGACTCGTATTTTTTACCAACTATCTCTACAATATCAATATTTTTTAAATCTCGTAATCAACTCAAATAAGCTCGTAATTTTAGGACTGGGGAGTAAAAAAAATTATTAAAAAACATGAAGGGAACCAACTCTATATTTCATAAAATTATGAAAAAAAAATGATAAAAGTCGATGAACTGGGCTTGACCCGGCCCGTTTACAAGCTCTAATTAATTGTATTGTATGGTATTATGGAATAGAAAATACCAATTTTAAATTGAAATTAAAATCTGACTCAACTCAACTCAACCCATTTACGATTTAAATTTTTGGTTCCTGAGCCTCTCCGCAAAGCCCTCCCGTTCCAGTTCCAGTTCTTGTTCTTGTTCTTGTTCATGTTTGTCTTCGTCCTCCTATGAAAATGAAATGAAAATGGTGGTGAAGAAGGCTTCGTTGTCTCTGATCTAATCTACTCTGCTCTGGAGTGAAGGAAGGACACGATCGCGCATCCCGAATAGGCTTTTCCGTTTCAATTTGAGTCAAGAGAAGCAAACCCATCTCCATTACAAGGTAAGGTCAGGTCAGGTAAAGTTATGAATCACTTCCAATTTATATATATATCTCTCTCTATCGCCTATTTCAATTGCTGCTTCATAATTCACGAAGTTCTGCGGTTTTTGAACAACGACTGGTTGATGCTCGATCTATTTTCATACAGTTTTCCAACGTACAGCAAGAGTTAGGGTTCATAATACCCTCCACTCGCTCTAATTAATGCTGTCTATTCATAAGCGAATTTTGTTTCTGAGAAAAAAATGTAGTCACTGATTTGGTTATTCAATTGTTTTGTTCTTTTCCCATGGCAATTTGGGGTTTAGGGCTTCGGTTTGACTGTACAGTATTTTGATTGTTGTGCACTTTTGAAATTCTTGAAGAAAGGATGCTATTAATTGAGAAATGTGAATGCTAAATCATGCTTAGGGTTGTGAAATTTGCAGGTTGTGCTCTGTAAATTTATCTAACATTTTGGTGAATTTGATATTGTGCTGCCATTAAACTTTTTCCTGTGAGATGATAATTGAGATAGATACTGCATCATAATTACAGTATAATGTTGTGGTTAGAGCTAGAAATCCAACCATTTATGGCTCGATTGATCTGCTAGCAGGCTCGAACTCTGCCTGTTTAAACTCATTTAGAATTTAGAACTTGGATTATTAGCTGGAAGAAGAAGCTCAAGCTATGTTTGCCAAAAAACTTTTAATATATGTTCAAAAGAAGTGAAATGATCTTTACATAAGGTAAAACAAGTGTTCAAACCATTCGATAATGCATATTTGACTGATTTTAGTTTGTATAGCACAACTCTCTTTGTCTTGCTCGTTTAGCCTAAAATAAATAATGTTTTCATGTAGCTTATTATCCCAACTCGGTTAGCATAGAATGTGCTCGGTTGAAACAAGTTTTTCAATTTCTATCGCGTAACAAGATATCTCAAAGTTATCTTGGTTCTCCTAAAATAAATAGCGTTTTCGTGTAGCTTATTATCCCAACTCATTTAGTATAAAATGTGCTCTGTTCAAACAAGTTTTTCAATTTTTATCGCGTAACAAGATAGCTCAAAGTTATCTTGGTTCTCCTAAAATAAATAGTATTTTCATGTAGCTTATTATCCCAACTCATTTAGTATAAATGTGCTTGGTTGAAACACGTTTTTCAATTTTTATCATGTAACAAGATAGCTCAAAGTTATCTTGGTTCTCCTTGTTAACATCTTTATTTTTAGGCGTGGATTAAATTGGTTGTGTGCTTTGGAATATTTGGTTGAATCCCGGTCACAATTACGATAGACTTTTTTTTTTTTTATAGGGCTCTGATACTATGTTAGAATTACAAGTACAGTAGTTTTTACTTATCTATGGTGTTTATTTTCCTTTTCGTCAATTGATATCTTCTTACATTCGTCGTATATAGAGATGTACATCAAATCGAAGTTGTCATGGAATGTGGTACTTCCGGCCGGGAACCTCAACGTCGAAGGCCTAATGCTTCAAAAGGCTATAATCACCCGCCTCACGGCTGACTTTGCCGCCAAGAAAGCCACCAAGGATCTCGGCTATTTCCTGGCGGTGACCACCGTGGGAAGAATCGGCGAGGGAAGGGTTCGACAGCAGTCGGGCGACGTCCTATTCCCGGTGGAATTTACGTGCGTGACATTCAAGATGCTCCCGAAAGAAGTCTTGGATGGCACCGTGTACCAAATTCTCAAGCACGGCGTGTTCTTGCGATGCGGGCCCATCGAGAAAGTGTTCCTATCCCACCAGAAGATGGACGATTATCAGTATGTCTCCGGCGAGAATCCGCACTTCATGAACAACAAGTCGTCGAAGATTGAAAAGGGCAGCGTGGTGCGGTTCATGGTGATCGGGCAGAAGTATATGGAGGCCGAGAAAGATTTTCAAGCCCTCGTCAGCCTCGAAGGCGATTACCTTGGCCCGATTTCTTACCCGGAATAGACGACGAAAAATCGAGGTACTCCCTTCTTCTTACATTATTATCTTAGTATATGAACTCTTGCAAAAACTAGCTGTGTTTTCTCTTATGAATGCTGTAAAAGAGGATTTGCATTTTCTCAGAATGGGATGTTTTGGGTTTTAAAGATCTCTTGTGAAGAAATAAATTTGTTTCCATGAGTACGTGATACTTCATCCGTCCCAATACAATAGTCTTATTTACTATATTTGTCTGTTCCAAAACAATACTCTCATTTTCATAAATAATCATATTACTATAAAATTATAATTATTTTTTTCATTATTATTACGCATACTACTATTTTTTATATTAATACATTTGTAAGAACAAAAATGTTTTTTATCTGTACTTTTTACCAATTATCAACTCAAAATGACGGTTGATTGTGTTGTTCTGATTTTTTTTTTAAAAATAGTATTTTAATTTGATATTTTATTAAAAAAATAATATATATTTTTTATTATTAAAAACTGTGGAGAGTAAATAATGTTACTTTTAATTTAAAATTAAAAAAAAAAGAACAAAATTCAATATTTAAAAAGAAATTCAATGTAGTAGAAAACAAATAAGGGTCGGCAAGAGCAAACAAATTGTCGATTAAAGTTATTATTATTTTATTTATTTAAATAAATGACACTCACATTGATTTTATTATTATTATTATTAGTACTATTCTTGCCAAGCACACTTAGGGGCTGTATTGGATTTTATAGGATTTTATTGGATTTTAAAAATTCTACGAATTTGTGTCGATTTTTTAAATCTATAAAGTCTAAACAGAGTTTAGTGATTTTTATTAATTGATTTAGATGAATTTTTATTCATTATTTATGAATTTATATAAATTTGATAGGATTGTAAAATATTTTTTTATTAATTTATATAATTATATAAATTTATATAAAACACACTTGTAGATAATTTTTTTTATTTAAATTATTAATTAAAAATATAAATATTTTTAATTAAAAAAAACACATTATTATTATTATTATTATTATTATTATTATTATTATTATTATCATCATCATTTTCATTTCCATTATATTACGGTCTCATTTTTCACGTAGTAGTAGCAATATTCATTTTTCATACATTAGCTTTCGATTTATTGTGAATTTTCATCTTCTTTGTAGAGATGTCGGAAATCTTAAACTTCATATTCGATTGAAAATTCATCTGATATTATTTAATAAATATTTTTTTAAAAATGATTAATGATGTAAAAATATTTTAACATGATATTATTTTTGTATATTAATATTTTTTATATTATTATAATTCAATATATCAATTTATTTTAATTTATATTTGGTATTATGATTTATATATTTATTACATAAAATAAACATATATATAAAATTAAGATCCAAATTTACGATTTTTGCAGAAAATATTTGAAATTAAAAAAGTAAAATTAAAAAAAAAAGTAACTATAAATTAACGATTCAACGAAGAATGACACAATAATAATGTATTTGATTATTAAAAATAGCTGATAATTGTAATACATATTTATTATGATAAAAATAATTTGCTAATATATTTTAATTTTAAATTATTATTTTTATTAAAATATTTTAATAATATTATAATATTTATTACTCATAATAATAATAATAATAATAATAATAATAATAATAATAATATATTTTCAAGAATTCATCAAAATATGCTTAACATGAGAGATTTTATATAATACAAATTTTTTATAACATTTCATTAAAATTCAATAGTTTCGGTCATGATCTTATAAAATCTATATTGAATACACCCCTGTAATTTCGGTCATGAGATTCAACATCCACCCACCCAGCCACCCGCATTGAATAGTTTCTTTTTATGGATTTTATATAAATTAATTTTAATTAAATTAATAATCCAATACAAATCCAAATCTGAAATTATTCATTGGACTATGATTTTTAATTCTAAGATAATATATATATTTTTTTCATATCAAATAGCAATATAGCTTCATGCTTTGATTTTTTTAGTTATTCTCTAAGTTGTTAGTCAATACTCCTTTCGTCTCATTGAAAGGTTGTCATTTTTCATTTTCGTTTGTCCTAAAGTAAATTATCCTTTCCTAATTTAATAATTGTACTACTTACCCAACGTAATAAATACCCTTAAAACTTACACTATATTACAAAAAATGTCATTACTTTTATATTACATAATACTAATAAGGGTATTTTCGTCTTTTTCACTACAACCCATTATAATACTAATATTCAAAAATCTACGTACAAAAATAAACGACCACTTTGTACCGTGACGGAGGGAGTATTATTATTATTATTATTATTTCACACAACACGGATGAACTAATCTATTCAATAAGTTATACTTTATTCGTTCTACATATCAAGTTACATTTTTCATGATTTTTTTTTTTAAAAGTATTTAGAATTTTTATTAGATTAATTAGTTTTTTTAATCTTAATCACTAATTGTTGTATTATATTTTAATTAATTTTACTAATATAGTTTTAATTATTTACTAATTATACATATTTTAAATTTTTGTATTTACGGTGACTTTGACACAATATTAAGAACAAAGTGAGTACTATTACTTTGTGATTGCAAATAATATTATATATATATATATATATTTGATTGGTCGTACTATTTGTCAATTGTGTATCAAAAAGTGTATTTTGAAAACTAGGCGTGTTTTCACATATTTGTAAGAATGGTATTTTTGAAAATAATTATAAGTTATAATACAAAATAAATATTTGGATTTTTATTTGTATCATATGTGATTTATTATTATTATTTTGTATTATTAATTGAAGTTTGTATAGAAATAATATTATATGGCTAATTAATAATTGTCAAAATGGTTGTTTTGCAATTGGAATATTGCATGTGTGCTAACATGGACCAATGATACTCCCTCCCTCCCGCAACAAGTGTGTCGTTTGCTTTTTGTACGTAGATTTTTGAATATTAGTATTATATTGAATTATAGTAAAAAAGATAAAAATATTCCTATTAGTATGGTGTAATATAAAAGTAATGACATTTATGTAATATATTGTAAATTGAAAGGGTATTTATTATGTGAAGTAGGTAGTACAGTTACTAAATTAGAAAATGGTAAATTTGTTTTGGGACGGACGAAAATGAAAAATAGTAACCTTTCAAGGAGAGTATAACAATTTTTAATGCCAAATGTTTGTGTATTAATTTAATTTTTAATTTTTATTTTTGTATATTTATTTGAAAAATCAATCCACGCCAAAATTTGGTAATAGAAATTGGCCTCTGAATAATCCATGTTAGCTTTAACAGTACTATATCAGTGCACGTCATAATATTTCGGTGTTAAGAAGATATTTTTAACGACTATAAATTGAATATAAAACTATATAATCCCTCTGTCCCAATTGAAAGGTCACCATTTTTAATTTTGTCCGTCCCAAAATAAGGTTATCATTTCCTAATTTAGTAATTATACTACCTACTTAACGTAATAAATACTCTTTCAACTTATAATATATTACACAAATATCATTACTTTTATATTACACCATACTAATAGGAATATTCTTGTCTTTTTTACTACAATCTGATATAATACTAATATTCAAAAATCTACGTGAAAAAGCAAACGCAACCCTTCTTCCAACGGGACGGAGGAAGTATAATTTTTTATTTATATGATCAAAATAATAAACAATGCTTATATGAGATTAAGAAAAAATAAATATTTTAATGCACAAATATTTATATGATATAAATAAACGTTGGAGATATATTTTAAATTTTAATATAATAATGTTTGAGAACTTTTTACTCTTTTTATGTACATATTTTTAAAAATTTGCTATTATTATTAACTATACTTTTTAAAAATATATATATACTTCATCGGTCCATAAACTAATGTCCTATTTTTCTATTTGGGACGTCCAACAACTATTGTCCTATTTTTTTTTATAAACACAAATTTTACATTTTTACCTTTCATTCATTTATTACTTTTAATCTCTACCATACAATCAAGGACAAATTTACCAAATCATAACAAAAAGACAATCACTTAAAAAACCGTGCAAATATACTTTAGGACAATAAAAATTGAAGGAAGGGAGTATTATATTATCTCTTTTCATATTTGCACTTATACATCACCTTTTTATTTTGATAATTAATATTCTTTTCGTTTCATATCTATCTTTATTAGTACAGTATAATATAAAAATAATGATTTTTTATAATAGATTGTAAATTGAAATGATATTTTTAATATTAGTATATAGTATAATTACTAAAATAAAATAAATACTTTGTTATAAGATGAACAAAATAAAAAATAAAAAATAAATAAACACATTGTTAAGGCACATAAGTATAAAAATATAATGAAAACAACGAGTTAAGATGTATGGTAGCTGCACTATCAAATAATTGACGTGTAAAGTAACATGAATTAAATGAATTGTAGACCACAAATTAATTCATTAATGAATATTATTGTTTATATATCTATATATCTAAATAAATTGATATACTTCATTCGTATCAGTTAATTTGTCTTATTTAATTTGTCTCATTTAATTTATGTATGTTCGAAGTTTTAGATATTGTATTATTAGTAAATAATAAAAAAATGTATTAGTAAAAATAATTATGATTTAATGAAAATAATTATAGATTAAGATTAAAATTATTAAATACTCCATCCGTCTCAATACAATGGTTCTGTTTACCATTTTTTTTTTGTCCCAAAACAATAGTCTCATTTTCATAAATAATCATATCACTATAAAACTATCGTTACTTTTTCATTATTATTACACAATTGCCACTATTTTTTACACTAATACATTCACAATGGTAAAAAAATCTTTTATACATACTTTTTATCCACTATCTCGTGTCAAACATAATTCAAATTATAGTTCTATTACGTAGAACAAACAAAAATAAAAAAAGTAAACAAATTAAATAAAATCAAGTAATATTTTAATATATGTTTAAACTAGTAAACTAGTCCTATGGGTTCCAATCCATCGGAAAAACATATATATATATATATATATTATATGTGTGTGTTTAAACTAGAAATTATTTATTGCTTATTTAAATATATATATATATATATATATATCTTCTACTATACATATAAATAAATTTACAATTCTATTGTTAAAATATACTCTCTTCTTTTGATCTTATTTATCAATTTTTTTCTAAAAAAATAATTATATATTTTAATTAAATTTTAAATTTTATAATTGATATTTTCTCTATCATTCAATTATGTGTTTATTTGACTAGATACGAATTTTAAAAAAAATAAAATTTTTAATGAAAAAATAGAAAAAACAATACTTTTTACTTATAAAATAAAAGAAAATAAATTTAAATGAAAAAAAACATTGAAATAGATTTAGATGAATAATGGAGTAATTTTTTAATTAATAATTATTTATATTATATACTAATTATATTTATTAATATATTTTTTTATTTATTAATTATATTTTATTTAAATTCTCGTATTTACACTAAATCAGACATAAAAAAAATAGAACAAAAAGAATAATTAAAATGATAAATATAAATTTTCGTAGATTTAAAAAATAAATAAATAAATAAAAATGTGGTGGAAACTTTGAATATTTAAAGGGTTTGAAAATGTACAAAGTGGCTGCTGCCACCAATAGCAATAGGCCAATTGGCAATTGGTAGCCAGGTACGACTAACCCACTCACCTCTCACTCACTATATTAAAACACGTGTCAATATGTGAGAACCAGAGACCTTCTTAGGGTGTGTTTGTTTGGGGGTTTGAATTTTGATTTGGGAATTGAATAGTAAAAATTTTGAATTTGAATAGTTGTACGATGTGATATAAATATGTGATGATGTAATATTTTGAATGTAAAATTGATTTTTAGTATAATATAAAAAATGAAAAATAGGTATTTGATTTGATATTTTTGGGGGAAAAATTTTGGATAAATAGTGAAATCTCGTGCAAATCCATCAAACGAACACACCCTTATGCTACATCCGGCAAAATTTTTTTTTTTTTTCTATTCATAGTACACTCGGAAAAAAAAAAATTAAATGTTTAGAAAAAATTTCAACAAAATTACATAAAAGTATTTTTTTACTATAAAAAATAAAATTTAAAGACTAAAAGTATAAATCAATAAACGGATTATGATTTTTTATATTACAAAATAAAAAAAAATTAGGATGGTCAAATTACTATAAGATTCATAATTTTACTTCCTCGTCATTCAAATCTATTATCACTTTCTTTTTTTCGCTGTCATCCAAATTTATTCTCATTTCTTGTTTTAGTAACAAAATATCACTTTTATTTACCAAAAAAAATAAAAATTTATATTCTTACATATTTTTTTTAAAATCCGTGTTCGGTCAAATGAGCACACAATTGGATAACAAAGGGAGTATTATTTTTTACATAAAAAGTTACATATATTTTGAGGGTTAGGGGGTGAACTACCCCTAACCCCCATGTAGTTCCGCCCTTGTCTATGTATCAATTTGTTTTTTATACGGAGTTTTATGAATATTAGTATTATATTGAGATATAGTAGAAATAAAGGTAAAAAACTAAACTAACTTTATTAGTATTGTATGATATAAAGGTAATGACATTTGTGTAATATATTATAAATTGGAAGGATATTTGTAATGTTATGTATATAATGCAGTTATTAAAAAAAAGAAATGGGTACTTTGTTACGAGACGGACCAAAATGAAAAAGTGGATACATTGTTAAGGGATGGAGGAAGTATATTAATACCAAAATACCCTTAACTTTTATTTAAATTACAAACGTACCATCACATACTTCTACATAAAATCAAAGGGCAAAAATGTCAAATCTTGTTATACATTTCTACTAACTAATAAAATACTATTATTTTTTAATCTACTGTAAAACTCCAAAGGCCTCCATTAAAAGGGACGGATGGAGTATTTTATTAAAAAAGTTATAAAAAGTTTTAAAGGTATTTTTGAAAATTAAGTTAAAATTAATTAAAATAAAAAGAAAATATAATAAAAATAGTGATATTTGTTGAGAATAAGTATTAAATATAGAGTAATAGTTAAATGTTAATTTATTGATTTTGTCAAGATTAGCAATGATATAAATTTAACGGGAAAAACCAAAAAAAAATATCTTTAATGAACTGAAAAAATATAATACTCCCTCTGTCCCTTAAGTAGGTATATGTGTTTACTTTTTGTACGCAGTTTAAAATATATTAGTATTATATTGATATATAATATGAATAAAATGTAATATATTGTAAGTTGTAAGGATATTTCACTGCAAAAAAATAGTATATTTGTAACGGAATTCCGTTGCTAAAGTTCAAGCAGCTAAAGTAATTTCATCTATAATTTCACCTCTAATATCATTAGTAACGGAAAAAATGGATTTAGGAACGAAAAAATATGATTACAAAATTGATATTTTCTTGTAGTGTTTGTAATATTAGATAGATAATAAAGAAATATTTTGTCGTAGAACAGACCAAAATGAAAAAAATTAATAATTTGTTAAAGGGACAGATTGAATATATGTGTATTTATATAATATATATATATTATATGCAGATTTGGTAGGAGTTATACTATTTATTAAATTTTTTTACCAAAAAAATATCAAATCAAATATATTTAATTTTTATTTTTTATATTATACTAAAAATCAATTTTACATTCAAAATATCACATCAAAACTATATATATCATATTATATAACTGTTCCAATTTAAATTTTTACTGTTTAAATCTCAACTCAACGTGGTATCCCAAACAAACAAACCCCTAGTTTAAAAGGAACTGGAAGGGTGGGCAGCCAGGGGCTATGATCCCGTGCCAACTACACTACTTATCCCTTTGATGCCTGTCTGCAATGTATGTGCCCAAAATACAAAATAAAATTATACATTTAAAAAATAATAAAATCAAACATATATATATATATATATAGAATTAATAAATGAATCAATGATTAGGGTTTGTATGTGTCTGTGATCTTTTAATTTGTGCTCGTAATTTGTTCTCAGCTTCGTACAACGTTGTCTTCACCATTCTCTCCACATCTGCCGCTTTTATCTGCATGCACTACTGTCGTCTTAATATATAAATATATAAATATAAATATTTAATTAAGAAGTCCGTACAGTAATTATATTAATATGTATCTTGCCTGTTAGGGTGCTGATTTGATCTGATCAACATCAAAATCATTCCAGCTTATGTATGCGGACACATGTTAGTGTTAAATATATATTGTCCGAATTATACTGTACTATATGAATATATATATATTGTAATAAAATTAAATATGTGAGATTATATCATGAATTGTATGTATATTATATTAATATAAATCATGTTAATGCATGTTGTATATGCTCTTAAGAACATCTCCAACCCAGCACTGTTAATTTGGCGTCGGTTGGTCCAACCAACGCCAAATCCAACGCCAACTTTTGGCGTTGCTTTATTTTAATTTTTAAAATTATAAATTTAGTTTTTATTTTTTAAAATTTTTAAAAATTTTATTTTAAATTATAAAAATAAAAGATTATTTAAAATAATAGGAAAAATTGAATATTTGAAGAATAATAGTGAAAATGGAGTTATGGTTGGAATAAAATTACTGTAGCAATTGCATATTTGGAATTAAAACTGGATAAATGAAGTTGATGGGTTGGAGATTACTAATTATACAATTCAACATAATAATGAATTCTTACCGTGGTTTCGAGGCGTAATAGGGCGTTGAATTGGTGGTCGGAAAAGCTCGATTTGATCACAAGCGGTGTCGAGCCGGTGACCTTGAGAGCGTCGAGGACTTGCAGCATTGAGTCGATCCCTGGCACTGCCGAATTGGCGACTTTAAGTTCGATCTCGGCCAATGTAGTTTTGGGCATTAATATTCCCCTTGAGGCCAACAGTCTCATCTTCTCCACCTCCTCCTTCTCCAGCTGTTGTTTCTGTCGTCGGAGCTCTTCGATCTCCTTCTCCGAGGCTTCCAAGATCGATTTCTTGTCATTCTAATTAATCAATTATAATATTTATAAGGAAAATTTGTTCATAATTTCTTTGTGGTTTCAAAATTCAGCATAAATCTCTCATGTACTTAAAAAATTACATGATGCCTCTTATGTTTTACCCCGTTTGTTTCACATAATTTGTTCATATTTTCTATTTTCGTCCGTTCTATATAATTTGTTCTTTTTTTTTTGGAAATATAATTATACACTTTAATCGTATTTTAAATTTTATAATTTTTTAAATCTTAATTAAACTATTTAGTTATTTTAATCTTAATTTTTACTATACAATAATTATTTTTATTAATACACATATTAATTACTTACATAGGATGGAGGGAGTAAAAAATATTGCATGAAATTCCCTCGCCATATGAAAAAAAAAAAAAAAAAAGTATGCATAAAAAATTATCTTCTCATTACACAAAAATATAAAAAAGATGTTTCATGCAACGCATTTGAAAACATAACGAAGTACCGTACAATTTTTAAAGTATACGAGAAATTAACCCACAATTTTGTAATGATGATGGGAGTTAAAAATAATTTAGCCTATTTATATATATCAAAATTAATTAAGTAAATTAAATAAAATTAAACAATTAGGTACCTTGGTTCCGGCGGGGAGCAATAGGTGCAGGGCCTGGTAGTGGTGGCGGTGCGTCCGCCGGCGAATCCTCTCCGCCATGATCTTGTTCAGATTATTGCTTTTCCGGCGATCGCCTTGCTTCTGCCAGAATTGCAGCATCCTCCGGTGCACATTATTTTGGCCATTATGAGCGCCGGCGCCGGCGCCGGCGAAGTTATTATTGGCGTATGCTAAGAAAGCGCTTGTTCTGGTACTACTCCGGCGGGTCATGGCGGTGGCGGCGGCTGCGGCGGCGGCTTCTTCCATCCACATTATGCTGCCTGGAGACATTATATTGAAATATACGTGGTCGTCCATTCCTGCTTAGAGAGAGAAAGAGAGAGAGAGAGGAGAGAAAGAGAGAGAGAGAAGAGAGAGAGGTTTCAAAATCTGGAATGTTAATAGCTTCGATTCCTGCTTCTATATATATATACATATGTGGTCGAGGTTGAGCAGAGCATTCTTTTATTGCATTTAAAAAACGTGGGGTTATTGACTTTGTTGTGCTGTTGGATTCATATTTTTGTAAGGAATACACACACACATATATATATATATATAAAATATTTATAGTATAATATTCTTCTATTTCATATAAATATTTATTTATTTTTATTTCATTTTATATAATTATGTATTTTAATTATATTTTAAAATTTAAAATTTAATTTTTTTTTTTATTTTAGGAAATTATTTAATTATTTAAATTTAAATTTATAATAATTTTTATTAAAATATTTTTAATTATTTACTTAGGGTGTGTTTGTTTGGAGATTGGATTTTAAATACTCTATTTATTTCATTTTTTCCCCTAAAAATATCAAATCAAACACCTATTTTTTATTTTTTATATTATACTTAAAATCAATTTTATATTCAAATTCAAAATTTTTACTATTTAAACTCAATTCAAAATTCAAACCCCAGAACAAACACACCCTATATTTCAACTAAAAGAGTATAATATAATACTCCTTTCGTCCCATATTGCATTTGCAAATTACTATAAATACGAGAATTTTTAATAAATATAATTAATAAATAATTAATAATGTATTAGTGAAAATAATTATTTTATAATATAAATAATTATAAATTAAAATTAAAATAATTAATTAATTCAATTAAAATTTAAAATAAAATAAAATTTAAAAATTTAAAATTAATTTTGTAGTATGTATAGAAACGGACGACTTTTGTGACGTCGTTTCTACTCAATTGCACAGGTTATACGACGAATACGACGGAGACGCGTGACGGCACGACGAGTATATATGTTGCGACGAACAGCAGTAATTAATGCTTGAAATTAATGTATAATTATGATTTTTTTTAAAGGACTATTTTGGGCGTGTTTTTAATCTATTTATTTTAAATTTATATTCCAATAAAATATTTTTATTTTTTTATATAATATTTTTATTGTTTAGTAAAAAATTATGCTATTTTTTATTTGTTATTATAAAAAATAAAAAATAACAAAAAATACATATAGTATTAAATTTGTGTCCAAAAATATAGATGTATCTTTTGTAGACAGAAGAAACTATTAGTATTTTTATTATAAAATATTATACTTTATTTGTCTAATTGAAAGGTTTTTGTTTATTTTTTACAAATAGGTTTTTGAATATTAATATTATATAAGATTGTAGTAAAAAAAAAAAACAAAAATATCATTTTTAGTATTGTGTAATATAAAAGTAATGATATTTGTGTAATATATTATAAATCGAAAAGATATTTATTGTGTAAAGAATAATACAATTACTAAATTAAAAAATATTAACCTTGTTTTAGAATAAATGAAAATAAAAAATAAAAATATTTCAATAGGGCCGAGGAATAATTAAAATATTATTTAAATCGAAAGCAGAAAAAAAAATTAAGAGTGAACTTATCATTAATTTTCTAAATACTTTTAGGAAGTGTATTTTTGTAAAAAAAAACAGAAAACAAAACCTTGTAAAATAAATTGCAAATGTTTCCAAATATAACAAATTAAAAATAAATTCCGTCCGTCTCATTGTAAGGTTATCATTTTTTATTTTCGTTCGTCTCAAAACATAGTTATTATTTCCTAATTTAGCAATTGTACTACATACCTAACATAATAAATACAATTTCAACTTACAATGTATTAAATAAATATCATTACTTTTATATTACATTATACTAATAGGGATATTTTTATCTTTTTTACTACAATATAATATAATATTAATATTAAAAAATCTACGTGCAAAAAACAAATGTTACCATTCCAATGTGACGGAGGGAGTAACACCTTTTAGCTTTATTTTTTTTAATAATTTTTTTTTAACAGGATTTTCAATATATACTCCTTTCGTTTCATATTTATCTGTCCGTTTGCTTTTTGTACGGAATTTTAAAAATATTAATATTATATTGAGATAGAGTAGAAATAAAGATAAAAAGACTAAATTAACTTTTCAGTCTTATATAATATAAAAATAACGACATTTGTGTAATATATTGTTAATAAAAAAATACTTAATATTAAGAATATAGTGCAATTCCCTTCAATGTTCACAAAAAAAGTAGCTTAGTCCGGTAAGAGATGACCTGGTGGTGTAGGAATTGGACTTGTGACTGTGAGGTCATGGGTTGAAACCCTCGATGTATCAGGTCACCTGTCACACATGATTTACCCAGTGCGCAATCAATGCTGCTTATCCAATTCACCCAAACAAAGTTTGCCAATATTTTGCCATTCCAAAGGAAAAGAAATAAGAGAATATTTTACAGTAGAGTCACCATCTTAACACTTTCCAAGCTCTGATGATATTTACACACAGACAATAATGTGATGAATCTACTCAAAATACCTTTCATCTCTACGATCGATCCAAACACAAGTAAGTTCACAAAATCGAGCTCAAAAATTCACCCCCGGCCCCGAAACGACGCGTCGACGACCGGAATTTGCCAATCCACGCAGTCGTCGAAATCGAGACTGCTCGCGCAGTCCAGCAGTGCATTCTGCTGCTGCTCGTAGCGACAAATGTAGGTAAGCCCGACGAGCACTTCGCATATCGCCGCCTCCGTCTTTTCCCGATCGGCAAAATACAAAGTCTGAAGCAAAAGCATGTTCGTCCTCTTCACGATCTGCTGCTGCTCGAAGTTGCGCTCGCTCTGCCATCTGATCATATTGTGCGCCATCGGGGAAAGCCATTTCAGTATCGCGCCGAGCCTTTCTTGCCAACCGTGCGCCAGAGGGGCATCGTATATCGCCACATTGTTGGCGTACGACTTCAAGCTCGTTCTAACGCTCTTCCTCAGGCTCGTCGGGAGCATCTGATACACATCGTCGCGGGCCTCGTCGCCCACCAAATGCGGGTATTCAAGAAGTTTTTCCAATACGATGATAATGTTCGCGTAGTGCAGCGCTAAAGCCGAGCCTCCGACTGTGTTTTCCGGGGCGTAAACGAGCAGCCGGCTTTTGTGCCTGAATCTCGAACCGGTATCAATTCTTTTGCCACCAAACGGATCCCGATTGATCGTTTGAATAAATCTGCTAAAACAATCGCTCGAAAATTGACTTCTTTGGCCGTCGAAGCTTACTCGATCATCGTTATCGACTTTCGACGCGAGACTACAACACTCCGTTAACAGCCTCCCGCGCCCCGCGCCGCCGCACGCGGACACGAAATCCTCGGCATTAATCGAACCTCCGTTTTTCGCCAAACCCCGGGAATTTCTACTAAATTCAACGGCGGATATGTTCCCGCTCAAACAAGCGTCGCCAAACGCGACGTACAATCGAACATAAACCGTGCAGACCGTCCTTGCGAGCAGCTCGACGACTTTATCGTACATCTGATTCCACAATGACGCGTCCTTCAATTGCCGCACATCTTGCCTCTGCCATACGAGCTTCTGCTCGAAAGCTTTTCGGCTCTCCTCGTGCTGGTTCTGCTGGAACTTCGTCGTGGCTATTTCCAATTCGTTCATAACCTCCATTTCAGCGTACAAATTCGCCGTCGAATTTACGTATCTCTCCATTTTCTTAACCATACTCTCCATATCCTTCACCAAAAATCCCAATTCAGTAATGTCAATCATCCCTGAAACTATATCGCCATAAACATGTTCGAATCCTTGCAGTGCTGGAATCGAGCATTTCTTCCCCAATCTAGAAACCTCAGAAGCTACACTGTTCAAATCATCTAGCTTCTCCGACAGGGCAAGTTCTAGAAGCAACTTCTCGTCATCAGACACGAGGAGTTTAACTCCCTCGGATTTCAGGATATCGTTCTTCAGCCTGTGGATCTCGGATTCGCTCAAAGATTTGTGCAAATATATAATTTTGGACATCAAATTAGCAACTTCGAAAGACAGGATTCCTACGGCTTGTCGAGGCCGAGATAACTCCTTTTTGTGCAGAGATTTTGTGGAATTCTCGAAATACAAAACGTGTTTTAAATTGTTACTCACCTGATTCCCCATTTTCACAATCCAAGGCTCAGCCACCATCTCTTCCTCCGCCGACAAGATCTGAGTCGCCGGAATCCCCTCCAGATCCGGCTACAAACTCACCGGCGGCGTTTTCCCCTAATTAATTCTTTGAAAATTTTCAGTCAGGCAAATCGTCGAACACCTTTGGTGCGAGACCTGTGACTTTAACTTAGGGCGGGGAGATGTGGACCTGAAAACAAAGGGGATTCGATAGCCATGAGGTGTGTGTTGAGAAAAAACTGAGAGAGCAAAAACAATGGCCTCGAGCATGTGCGATTTCGAGTAGGCGTGCGGAAAAGAATGCAGAATTTATGCAATCGATTGCCGCCGAAGGAGGGAAAAGGGAAAGTGAGGGTTTTGATTGGGCTTTTAATTTTTTGGTTTTTCAATGGCAGTGTTGTGTTGGAAGGAGGTTTACGAGAGTTCGTAATGATTGATTCCTAAAAGGTGGAGAGCAGTTTGAAGACGATGGTCCTCAATTGTTTGAAAGCTATCAGCCATGGAAGAACGCAGCACTCTCTCTCTCTACTGCTCACTGCAAATTACATATATATATATAAAGTAATAGTAATATTTTTATTAGTATTACTTATTTTCTTACCTTAATTATCATGTATGTACGCGCTTACCTTTTTCTAATGTTAGATGTGTCTGTTCGGAGGATTTTTCTTCCAAATACACTTATTCATCTAATTTTTTTTTTAAAAAAATATCAGATAAAATATCTATTTTTTATTTTTTATATTATGCAAAAATAAATAAATTTTACATTCAAAAAATCACATCAATACTTATTTATTTATATCCCATCATACAATTATTCAAATTCCAAACCAAAATCTAAACCCTCAAACAAACACACCCTTTATGTTTCTTTTTATAGTTTAAAAAAAATTAATTTAAATTTAATATTAAAATAATATATAATAAATATTTTATATAAAAAAATATATATATACTTTCGAAAAATACATCATTCAAATAGTAGATACTTATAATTTGAAACCAAAAGAAACAAACTCTATAATTACTAGACACAGATTTACCCAACTAAAGTATACACATATTCACCTATAATTTAACTCAAGACTTAACCCTTAAACGAAAGATATTTCACCAATCAAATATTTGCTTGGATATGGAGTCAAATCTTCGACTCCTTCGGATTTTGTTTTATTATCTATGTTTAGTTTAATACTCCCTCCGTTTACAAACTAACGTCCTACTTTTCTATTTGAAATGTTCAATAACTATTGTCTTCTTTTTATTTTTATTACACAAAATTTACTCTTTTACCCTTTATTTATTTACTCTTTTATTTTCTATACACAAGATTAAGAACAAATTTGTCATTTGATAACAAAAACCCTAATTGCCTAATGCGTATAAATATCAAATAGGACATTAGAAAATGGATTGAGGGAGTATAATTTATAGGATTTTGTTTTGTTATATATGTCTAGTTTAATATAATTTAAATATCAAATTAAATATTTATTTTTTATTTTTATATTATATTAAAAATCAATTATACATTCAAAACATTACATCAACACTTATTTATATCATATCATACAACTATTCAAATTCAACTCATACAACTATTCAAATCTCAACTCAAAATCCAAACCCCAAATAAACACACCCTAAAAAGAAAATTTATATTTATTTGGTTTGTATTTTTATTTGTTTATTGCTATTTATTTTCTTATCTTAATTATCCTATATCTATGCGCTTACCTTTTTCTTCTGAATGTTTTTTTTTTTTTTTATGAGTTTAAAAAAAATGTTGATTTGAATTTGATATTAAAATAATGCATAATTTAAAAAATATAAATTTGGGGTTTGGAGGTAAAAAAACAAACCTTATGATTACTGCAATTAAGAGTTTGTTTCTTGCTTTTTTTTTTCTCCCACAATATATTTTACTATACATTATTTTAATATCAAATTCAAAACCCGCATATTCACCACCCATAATCTAACTCAAGACCTAAACATTAAACAAAATATGTTTCACCACTTAATCAAATGTTTGCTTTGGTATGGATTCAAATCTTCAACTACTTATAATTTTTTTTGTTATCTATATTTAGTTTAGTATAATTTGTCTTTTTAATCTAATTTGAGGTAGATTTCATGTCATAAAAAGAAAAATAAAATAAAAATAATAAAATAAAATAAAATAAAAAATCAATCTTTATTGTACAATTTAGATTTTATCAATTTATACTGTATTTGAAAAATTATGGATATAGATTTCAATAATACTAAAAAAGAAATTATCTTTATTTGGTTTGTATTTTTATTTAAATTATAATGCAAATAATATTTTAATTTAATATTTTATAGTATAAAAACAATACTATATCTGTATTAAAATAGTACAAATTATATAAAAAAAATTAATTGAATTACAAAAATCATCAGTCCTTTATTTTTTTATGAAAAGTATCTTTTTATTGCATTGATGGTGATATTCTAAATAAAATAAAAAAAATAATAATAAAATGATCGTATTTACTTAAGAATTTTGTTTCTAGTTTTATACTTTCTCATTTTGCAAAAAATAAGATGTTTTTGTTTGTATGTTGATCAATAAGTTATATTTGGTAAATAGAATTGAAGAGTATAAAAATCTTCGTGTTAGATTTTTTAAAATAATAATAATAATAATAAATTAATATTTGATATAATTTTTCTTTATAAGAAAGAATACGTATTTGATGGTATTTAAAATATATATATATTGATAAATATTATTAAAACTCTAAAATATATGTGTCACTGTATGTGTAAACAAAAATATTTTGGTACGATGATATGAGGTGGACTTGTGATTGTGAGATTATAAATTCAAATTCTGATATTTCCAAGTCTTATTTGCAATAGTAACTGTCATATCTATCATGTCTACATTGTCACTTCTGTCTCACATTTTATGTCATCTTTTTTTTTTTTAAATGATTACACACCTTAATTTTATTTTAAATTTTCTAATTTATTTTTTTAATTTTAATTAAAATAATTAGTTATCTTAATTTTTATCTATAATTATTTATATTATAAGATAATTATTTTTACTAATACATTCTTAATTATCTACTAATTATATTTATCTTAAATTTTCGTGTCTACAGTAACTCGGATATGCAATGTGGAACGAAAAGAGTATATAGGATTAATACAACTTTTCTTCCTTATTCAAACTCTTATTGCCAATATCATCAGCTTCCTAGAGTAGAGATATTCCAAAGACATTATTACTAGCATATTTCTAACCTATTTTGTCAAGTTTATTTTTGGTTTTGATCAAGTTTTTCATTTCATTTTTGTTTGTTTTTTAGGTATTTGACCTATGTTTAGTTGCCTTTGATTATTAATCATAGAGGTATAATATTGTTGTAGTCACCATCGAGGTCGTATTATATAATTGTCTTGTTTAACTGTCTGACTTGGTTATATTGTCTTTTAAAATACTTAAAAATCTTATTATTACGGTGTTTTCTCTCACAATATTGTTGTTCCAAACTAATCAAATACATTTGATGCTTTAGGACATAAAGACATCCTTGAATCAAATTATAGCTTTCAATTTTTCTCTCGTCATATTAAATAGTCTAAGTAGCCATCATTGACATTTCTATTTCACTTGTTGCAACTATATGATTCTATTTTTGGTCTCTTGTATATTACATCACTTATATCTTTCTTACTTTTCATACAATTTACTGAAAGTGCTCGTATGTATATTACATATTCATTATTTATGTCTCTCCATGATATTTATTGTATTTCATAGTCATTCTAAACTTTATATTGTTTCATCAATTAGTTGAATAAGATCTTATTATTATTTTCTCTTGTTTTAGTGTGGAAGTTTAAAATAAAAAAATAAGCTAGATTTTGGGATAGGTCACGAGGTCGTTCTTTTATTTGAGGTTCAGTTTTTTTTTTTTTTTTCTTTTATTATCATCGTCTTTATGCTACTACTACCTCAACTTCTTTCAATTTCTAAGGTATATTCGTCTGGTTATGCATTTTCCTATAAATTAAGTCTTTGGTTAGTAAAATATTGTATTTTTCAAATTTTTCACAATTATATATTGAAATTTAGGGAACTTTCAACAGGTATGTGTATTGTCTTTCTGTTACCTCATTCACGCTCAACTACTCTCTTTCACCTCTTTCATCTATAAATTTTTCATTTCATTCACACTTAAATTTCTTTCATTCATTTCATTCTCACACTCTCAAAGGTCATGTGTTGCATCAATCTCCAATGGACAATTACCTGCAGGCTTTATTGTACATGCACATAGTGAACATCATCAAAAAAAAAAATTCAACCACGTCTATATAAGTTTCAAGTGCCGAAAGTAGACAAAAACTAGGCCCAGATCCAATCATGTCTCCGAAAAAAGAATTTTTTTCGATTTCTAAAGAAGTGTTCTCTAAACTTATTTCATTCCTTCGATTTCCAAAGTTAGGCTTTAACAAGTTTGGTTGGCACAAACACTTGTGCAGCATTGCATCAGGATAAATAAGATAATATTTTATATGATCTTTATATTTCTAGATGAACTAACAATGCAGTTTCCTATTTTATTTAGATGAATGAGAAAAAAGTAAGTTTTTTCTAACATGAATTTTACACTGGCAGCGAACACGCATAACTTGGTAACATCATGTGAGCACTTAACACAAAATAAATGCAAGAGAAATGTTGTTTTATTTATCTACAACTTATTGATTAAACAATTATCTTCTCCTTAGTCATTTCTCTATTCTTTTGCATGCATAACACATACACATGGGTTTGTGGAACTATGTAAATATCATACAATGATTTTGAATATGATGATGTCCCTGATGAGAGCAAGATATGACCATATTGCATCATTTGTACATTGACCATCATTTATTGGTACAAATATCTCACGGGCCACAATTAGAAATGTGTCTTCATGTTTACCACACGGGATATTATTGTTGCAGAGTGATTGCACCTAAACAGAAAAGAGTACACCCAACATAAGTAAAAACAAAGTTAGATAGGTTCATGATTGAGAAGAAGACACTAAAAGACTTGTACAATCTACGAACAAGTGTAAATTGTTTACGAATTTTTTGTTTATTTTGAATATATATATAGTTTTGTGTTTCTTTATTTAGTTGTTATTTGGTTTTTTTGTCTTTTTTTCCAAAATTCAAGTGCACCCTTTTGTTTCTCTTTCCTTATATTTATATATTTTTATTTTTATTTGTTATTGTGCTTCTCTTTTAGCGTGAATATACATATCTAATTATATTTTGATGGTTCTCTCATTTCTGTCTCTTCTAATTTGTTATGTTACATGGTATCAGAGCAAACTGATCCATACAATCATGCCTATGATGATTGATTCCTCTATACAAACTTCATTTTCGACAAATTCACTTGCTAATGACTACTACCGCCTTTATGAGGAATTCGTAATTTTGGATAGAGATCATCTATGTTTGGCTCTCATAACCATTCAACTAAATATTT